ACAACACTCCTGACACACACACAACCTCCTGACACACACCACAACCTCCTGACACACACACAACCTCCTGCCACACACACCCTAGCACTCGGCCACACACACACCACAACCTCCTGGCACACACACACACCTCCTGACACACACACACCTAACCTCCTGACACACACACCTCCCTGACCACACACACAACCTCCTGACACACACAACACTCCTACCACACACACACACCCTAACACTCCTGACACACACACACCCACAACACTCCTGACACACACCCACAACCTCCTGACACACACACAACCTCCTGACACACACACACCCTGACTCCTGACACACACACAACCTCCTGACACACACACACACCCAACCTCCTGACACACACACAACACTCCTGACACACACACAACCTCCTGACACACACACACAACACTCCTGACACACACACACCCACAACACTCCTGACACACACACAACACTCCTACACACAACCTCTACACACACAACCTCCTGACACACACACACCCAGCCTCTGACACACCCACAACACTCTGACACACACACACCCCCTCCTGACACCTCCTGACACACACCAACCTCCTGCACACACACACCCACAACACTCCTGACACACACACAACCTCCTGACACACACACACCAACCTCCTGACACACACCCCAAGCCTCCACACACACACACACACAACACTCCTGACACACCCAACCCCTGACACACAACCTCCCCCTGACACACACACACAACACTCCTGACCACACACACAACCTCCTGACACACACACACACACACACACTATGTTGAAATGAACTGTAGTTTGAGCTTATCCCCATCTAAGTTATATGTCTTATTTGTGTCACTTATGTTGTATATTATTTGTAATTTAACCCATTCCCCAAATATGTAACTGTATATTTTCAGCCTTCTGGCTGCCAAGCTCTTTCAATAAACCGTTAATTATTATTATTATTTATTACACACACACACACACACACACCATCGGACTTCCTCCACCGGTTAATAATGGTCGCTCGATGTTCAGTTTAGTGCATAAGGGGCGAGTGACGGTCAGGCAACACACTGACTGACTTACTGACTGATGGACTTATAGACTGATGGACTTACACACTGACTGACTTACTGACTGACGGAATTATAGACTGACTGACTTACACAGTGACTGACTTACTGACTGACGGACTTATAGACTGACTGACTGGATGAATGAATGACTGGCTGTTTGACTGGAATGAATGACTATTTGCAGAAGGTCATATGTACAGGGTGGTGCAGAAGGTCATATTTACAGGGTGTTGCATAAGGTCATATGTACAGGGTGTTGCAGAAGGTCATATGTACAGGGTGTTGCAATAGGTCATATATGCAGGGTGTTGCATAAGGTCATATGTACAGGGTGTTGCAGAAGGTCATATGTACAGGGTGTTGCAATAGGTCATATATGCAGGGTGTTGCATAAGGTCATATGTACAGGGTGTTGCAGAAGGTCATATGTACAGGGTGTTGCAGAAGGTCATATGTACAGGGTGTTGCAGAAGGTCATACATAGGCTACAGGGTGCTGTGGTGCAGTTCACGAATAGCTAAACTTAGATTTAATCTCATCGGCCCCGTGGCGCAATGGTAGCGCGTCTGACTCCAGATCAGAAGGCTGGGTGTTCGAGTCACTCCGGGGTCAACTAACACTTTTCCTTGACCTCTAGTATTGACCCGCGTCCTTGACCTAACTATTGACCCACCTCACGCCATCCCATCACTCCCAGCATCCCATTCCCTCAGACCATCCCCTCTTACCACCCATACACCATCCTCCTCCATTCCACCAATTTCCCCTCTCCTCCCCTCTCCTTCCCTCTCTTTAACCTTCAGGCGCTGGGTTAAATGGCAGTAAAGGTATATAAACTATCTTGATGTTTGTGAAGTAAGTTATCATCTTGGGTTAAATAAAAGACAAGACCTTTTTTTTTTATTTTTTATTCACACACCTCCTCCTCCCTGGTATCCACACACCTCTTCCTCCTCCCTGAGTCATGATGTTCAAGGTGTGTGTGTGTGTGTGTAGAGGGGCTGTAGGATGATGCTGAGAGAGAGAGAGAGAGAGACCGGGGATGATGTGGCAACAATCCATTCTTGCAGGTGTTTGTTCAACAGAAACAACAAACACCTCAGCAAACATAGGCTTATTTATCACACCATTAACACCTTGTCCTTATGGCACCACAGGTAAAGGGGGGTGGAAGTGGAAGGAGAGGTGAGTGGTGGTGAGTGGACGGGGTAGGAGGGGTGAGGAGTGGACGGGTAGGGAGGTGAGGTGAGAGGGTTGACGGGGAGTGAGGTGGTGGGTGGTGGTTGGACGGGGTAGGGGGAGGTGAGGGGTGGTGGTGGACGGGGTAGGGGGAGGTGGTGAGAGGTGAGGTTGGACGGGGTGGGGAGGTGAGGTGGGTGGTGAGGTTGGACAGGGTGGGGGGGGGGAGGTGGGGTGGTGGGGTTGGACGGGGTAGGGGGAGGTGAGGTGGGTGGTGAGGTTGGACAGGGGTAGGGGGAGGTGAGGTGGGTGGTGAGGTGGACGGGTAGGGAGGTGAGGTGGTGGTGAGGTTGGACGGGGTAGGGGAGGTGAGGTGGAGGTGAGGTTGGACGGGGTGGGGGGAGGTGAGGTGGGTGGTGAGGTTGGACGGGGTGGGGGGAGGTGGGTGGTGAGTTGGACGGGGTAGGGGAGGTGAGGTGAGGTGAGTTGGACAGGGGTAGGGGAGGTGAAGGTGAGTTGGACAGGGGTAGGGGGTGGTGAGAGGTGAGGTGGGTGGTGGTGGACAGGGTAGGGGAAGAGGTGGGTGGTGAGGTTGGCGGGGGTAGGGGGCAGGTGAGGTGAGGTGAGGTTGGACAGGGTGGGGGAGGTGAGGTGGGTGGGTGAGGTTGGACAGGGTAGGGGGAGGTGGAGGTGAGAGGTGAGGTTGGACAGGGTAGGGGGGAGGAGGAGAGGTGAGGTTGGACGGGGTAGGGGGAGGTGAGGTGGGTGGTGAGGTTGGAGGTTAGGGGGGAGGTGAGGTGAGAGGTGAGGTTGGACAGGTAGGGGGAGGTGAGGGGGGTGGTGAGGTTGACGGGTAGGGGGATGTGAGGTGAGAGGTGAGGTTGGACAGGGCAGAGGGGGGAGGTGAGGTTGGACAGGGTAGGGGGAGGGAGGTGGAGAGGTGAGGTTGGACAGGTAGGGGAGGTGAGGTGGGTGGTGAGGTTGGATGGGGGGGGGAGGTGGAGGTGGGTGGTGTTGGACGGGGTAGGGGAGGTGGAGGTGAGAGGTGAGGTTGGACAGGGTAGGGGGGGTAGGTGAGAGGTGAGGTTGGACAGGGTAGGGAGGTGGAGGTGGGTGGTGAGGTTGGACGGGGTAGGGGAGGTGAGGTGAGAGGTGAGGTTGGACAGGGTAGGGGAGGTGGTGGTGAGAGGTGAGGTTGGACGGGGTAGGGGGGAGGTGAGGTGAGAGGTGAGGTTGGACGGGTTAGGGGTGGTGGAGGAGGTGGGAGGTTGAACGGAATGGGAAGTATTTTTTACAATGATCATATTGTCATACATTTTTAGTTTCTGCCCCCATGCTATGCCACAGTCACCCCGGGTGTAAGTTATGGTGAAAACTTCCTTCTGTCATCGTTTTCTTTGTGTGATTTTGGTTTTTCAGTTTTATGGGAGACTTTAAGATGACTTTGTGTGTGTGTGTGTGTGTGTGTGTGTGTGTGTGTGTGTGTGTGTGTGTGTGTGTGTGTGTGTTGGATCTCTCTCGTGACAGTGTTGTAATTTTACAGACGTTTGGAGTACAAGGTACTGGGGGGAGGAGAGAGGGAGGAAGACAAGGAGGGTGGAAGGAGGGAGGGGACGAGGAGGGGGTAAGAGGAGGAGGGACGAGAGGGGGGTAGAGGAGGAGGGGGGAGTGGAGGAGGAGAAGGGGGAGTAAAGGAGGGAGGGACAGGGGGGGGGATAAGAGGGAGGAGGGACGAGAGGGGGAAAGGAGGGGGAGAAAGGGGGGAGTGGGGAGGAGGAGGGGCAGAGAGGGGATAGAGGTAGAAGGATAGAGGGGGGAAGGAGAGAAAGGGGGGGAGTAAGAGGGGAGGGGACGAGAGGGAAGAGGAGGGGAGAAAGAGAGGGGGTAAGAGGAGGAGGGGACGAGAGAGGGGGAAGAGGAGGGGAGAAAGAGAGGGGGTAAGAGGAGGGGAGAAAGAGAGGGGGTAAGAGGAGGAGGGGGCGAGAGGGGGGTAAGAGGAGGTAGAGGATGTATGATTTATTTTACTGCAGTTATAATAAGAGAGGAATAAATTTGTTTTTTTTTACGTAATTTTCTCAGTTTCTTGATTAAAATGAAAATGACCTGTGTCTTGGATGGGTAGTTTGCAACACCCTGTATATATGACCTTCTGCAACACTCTGTACATGTGACTCTCATTGTTTCACCTTTTGTACATGTGACTCTCATTGTTTCACCTTTTGTACATGTGACTCTCATTGTTTCACCTTTTGTACATGTGACTCTCATTGTTTCACCTTTTGTACATGTGACTCTCATTGTTTCACCTTTTGTACATGTGACTCTCATTGTTTCACCTTTTGAGGACTATGGTTTAAGAGGATGATGGTTTAACACCTTTAATAACGTAGCATAGATGGTTTAACCCCTTTGAGGAGGAGGATCTAATTAACAGGAATATGGTTTAAAACATCCTCAGAACGATATGTTAGAAACAGGAGTCCATTAGCATTAGGTCCCATTAGCACTAGGGCCCATTAGCACTGAGGCCCATTAGAACTGGTTAGGTTAGGTTATATTAGATTAGTTAAGGTTAGGTTAGGTTATATTAGATTAGTTAAGGTTAGGTTAGGTTAGCATTAGGGTGCTAAAAGTCAGGTACTTCGGTTGAAATTAGATTAGGTTAGTGTCGGAGTGTTTAATTATCAAGGTAATTTTTTTAACTCATTTTATCAATGTTGAACAGAAGCTACGTGATCCTGACTCCGAGGCAATGGACGTCAGAGGCACCGGCGCAGGTGTGTGTAATGGTGGACGACCCGGGGGCCCCCTCCGGTAGACTAACCTTCGCCATCACCACTAGGGATTGGCGGCTTGTCAGGGATGAGCAGAATGTCACCGTTATTCCTGATACCACCCTCCAGGTCCCAGCAGGTTAGTTGAGTCAGTCAGCGAGTCAGCGAGTCAGTACAATATCCAGATTTCAGAATGTCGAGTGAGTGAATGAGTTAGTCAGCCAGTCAGTTAGGAAAATTATGTTTCATATCTATACATGTAAGAAATGCTTAGTTTTCATCAAATTATTCGTAGGATCCAGTTCGTCTAGACCTGTTCATGATGGAAAATTCACAGCACATGTTACTTTTGCACGTCCACAAGCAGTAGTTCTGTATCTACTGGTGCTTGGTCGTCCATGATGCTTTTCTCAAACATTTTATTTAATATATATATATATATATATATAATTAATAGTCTATGAAGCGCTTATATATCCACTTATAACATGCATAGGTTTAATTTTGATAGTTATATATAAAGAAAAATATTTATGCATCTCATTTTCTTTTCGCCAGGTACATATGACTCATGCTACGGGGTATCAGTGCCAAGCTCGAAGTATTCCAATGGTGCGCTACATGTATATGGCATTGTGGGTGGCACCAAGGTCAACCGCACCGTCAACATCAGCCTGAAGCGATCTAACGAGATCAATTTCCTGCAGTCGGACAAGTTCCTCTACGAACCTGGCCAAAATGTCAAGCTCAGGATCCTCAGCATAGTCGGGGCAGATCTTAGCGTCTCATACAAACCGGTGAGTCTTGGTAACCAGAATTGAGTAAAAGGGAATTCCATAGATTGTAAATGACCCTTTGATGATGATTATGATGATTTAACCCTTCGAGGACAAGTTTATCTCTGAAAGATTGATGATTGAACCCTTTTATGATGACTGAATCCTATGAGGACGACACTTTAACCCTCTCCTCCTCATCAGGCTAAAATTAAACACCTAAACCAGGGGTCACCAAACTAGGGCCCGCGGGCCGGATCCGGCCCGCGACGTCAGTTCATCAGGCCCGCCGACGGTACTTGAATTTGCTTGATAAAACGTGCACACTAGTTCTGATGTAACTATGTTTTTGCTAACGTCGCCTTCTTTGATAACTTTTTAGTAAATAAATATGTTGGCTGTCTTTGTTTTTTGTGCATTGCACGCCACTCACCCATGATTAACATGGAATGCTAAACTTAGTTTTTCGTCTTTTTTCCCAGAGCTTTCGTTCTGGCTTGCAAGTATTGAACAGAATGATGCGGCCCGCGCTCGTCATTCTTTCAGTTATCCGGCCCACTGTGAAAAAAGTTTGGTGACCCCTGACCTAAACCATGACATACACACAAGAACTCAAATCCTATCCTATAGCCGACGATGGAAACAACGAATTTCTATTAATGTAAAGTGTTCCTCCTTTCCACAGTAGCTACAATAAATACAGATCACCAAATACAATTGAATTTAGTATCTCGTTTCCCTTTACAGTACCCGGAGGTGTGGGTCACGACGCCCTCCAAAACGCGCATCGCCCAGTGGAAGAACGTGGACAACACCGCTGGGTTGGTCCACCTTGACTTCGATCTGGCTGATGAACCAGAGATGGTAAGGACGTACTTTGAGAGGTGTGGGAGGAAGGGAGGTGGGGCACTGTTAGGTGAGGGGAGTACCTAGAGATGAAGGGGCAGGGGAGAGAAGAGTTACATGAGCGGTGAAGGGGGAGAAGGGAGAATAGGTAACTGAGAGGTGAGGGAGAAGAGAATTGTGGTGACATTGAGATGTGAAGGGAAGGGGAGAAGAAGTGAGGCAAATCAGCTCCCACGCTCCACTTTAAGCTGCCATTCTCTCCTCCACACCAGGGAAACTACCGCATCCACGTGAAGACTCATGATGACCGGACTGAAGTTCGAGACTTCAAGGTGGAGGAGTTCGTATTGCCACGCTTTGAGGTGAAGCTGAAGACCCCCAGTTACATCCTGGCTGTTGACGAGGAGTTCACCTTTACCGTGTGTGCCAAGTGAGTCACCCCCCCCCCTCCTCTCTCTCCCATCAGTGAAGGAAAATGAGTTCACCTGATGTGGCACCTCAGTTTATTTTACCTTATGATTAAACAGCCTCACCGAACTTAACTTGACCTAAGCTAACCTAACTTAACTTGACCTGACCTATCCTAAGTTAATCTGACCTAATTTAACCTTACCCAACATAACCTGACATAACCTAACTTAAATTGATCTGATTTAACCTTACCCAATCTGACCTAACCTGACCTACCCTAACTTAACCTAACTTAATCTGACCTGATCTAACCTAATCTAATTTAACCTACATTTAACTATGTAGATACTTGTGTTTATGTATACTCTGCAGATACCTGTATGTATGTATGATAAACAATGTAGATATCTGAGTTTATGTATATTATGGAGATCCCTGTGTGTTATATGTATGCCAATATGTGTATGTATGAGGGCACCATACAGTACATCCATCAACGAATAAATGTTAACACCATTATTTAATTCTGTTTTAACATTACTTGACAGTTACACCTTTGGCCAACCTGTCAAAGGCAGCCTGTCACTGACTATTAGCAACGGTAAGAGGAAGAAGTGTCTAAACAAGGTCACCAACAATGTTACAGTGAGTACCTCCAATACTAGTCTTGTATCTCCAATGCTAGTAACACTAACACTATAGTACCTCCAACACTTGTCCTGTACCTCCAACACTAGTAACACCAACACTATAGTACCTCCAACACTTGACCTGTACCTCCAACACTAGTAACACCAACACTATAGAACCTCCAACACTTGTCCTGTACCTCCAACACTAGTAACACCAACACTATAGTACCTCCAACACTTGACCTGTACCTCCAACACTAGTAACACCAACATTATAGAACCTCCAACACTTGTCCTGTACCTCTAATACTTAAAATATCAACACTAGTAACTCACTGACACCTACAATATTTCATTAAGTACCTTTATCACATCCTACTCTCAGAACACTTACCCTCTTACTACAGTACCGTAAGTAACACAGAAGGTCTTACTTACGAGAACTGATCCCCACAGACGTCAGCTTAACCTTTTGACAACGATGTTTGAACCCTTCAGGACTCAAAGGGTTAAAACCAGAAGACGGTCTGAGTAATCGTATTTCTCCCGGCAGATCTCTGGGTGTAAGGACGTGAAGATAACGTCAGCAGACATGCAGATCATCGACTGCAACGTGTACCAACTTACAGCAAACGCCATCGTGACTGAGGAAGGTACGGATGTGGAGGTGAGAGCCAACAGCCGCATCTCTATCACCCGGAATGCCGTCACTTTCAAAACTATCTACTCAGACAAATATGTGAAGCCGAACCTTCCATTTACACTGAAGGTGAGTCAAGGTTAAAGATGTCAACTGAAGGTAATTCATACCCCCCCAGCTTATTTCACCTTGAAATTAATTACACTAATGCTAATCTAATCTAACCTATTTAGAATAACCCAACCAAGTCTAACATAATCGAATGCTAACCTAACATAACCAAAACAAACTTAACCTAACATAACCAAACCTAATCAAACCTAATCTAACTTAACCAAACCAAACTTAACATTACCTAATGCTAACCTAATAAAACTAAACTTAACCTAACCTACCCTAACCAAACTTAACTCTAAAGTAGCCTAACCTAAGTGTAAAAAATCCCACAGAAAAACACAATACTGAACCTCAAATAAAAACATTACCTTTAGAGTGAATTATAAAATACCTTATGATATTCTTTTTTCCCCTCTGTACAGCTGAGAGCAGAACTGCCAGATGGTTCTCCCGCAGCTGGTGTCCCTATGGAAGTGTGTGCAGCTGGTCGGTGTACCAACATGACCACAGCTCCTGACGGTCTCTTCACTACAGTCTTACCATCGTACAAGACCAACAGAGTCTACGTAAGTTATCGCTGCCTCAAGATTTGATTACTGTAAGCTGTCGTGGTTACTTGTTCTCTCTATCTACTTGTTCCTTCTCATCTTCTTTCTCTTCATATTTCTCCTCCTCTTTCTCCTCGTTCAACCAGTAGTAAGACTCATGTACTGAAGGGTAGGAGTCCAGTTTCCTCAAGGACAAGTTATAACACTTTGGCTATGAGGAGGAGGAGGAGAAGGAAGATAAAGAGGAGAAGAAGGAGGAGGAAGATAAAAAAAAACACCTCTGGAACATCCTTATTCAATGTATGGGGAGAATGACTAACATGCTAGGCAATTTACACTCTAGTAATAATTCTTTATCCTGAACCACCACAGATGAAGGCTCTAAACTGCCGCGCTAACATGCACGAGTCGTCATACAGCAAAGATCTGGAGCACTATTACTCCCCCTCCAACTCCTCCTTGCTGATCCACGCCCCCGAGGGTAAACTGAAGTGTGTACCAGGACAAACTCAGCAACACGCCCTACCTGTGCTCTTCTCTGCCAGGAACCAAAACACGCCTACCATCTACGTACAGGTAAATATTATTATTTTATTGTTATAATTTATGATTTTTATTATTATTATCATTAATTATTCTTATTATTATTACCACTATTTTTATTTTATTATTATTTTCTTTAATATCATATTTGCCACTTATCAGCTTACTATTCGTTTGGGCGGGCAATCCAGTGTTAGTTCAGGAGGAAACAGGGGACCGGGAAACCTGTGGTGTTTGGTAGTGAGGGTGACACTGTATAACACCCTTCTCACGTGTGTTTACATGATTATGGTAACCAGTGTATACAGTAATTTAATCAGGAGAGGCAAGAACTTATTGTTGTTATTGTCATTATATTTTCTGTCGTCAAACTTAGTCTCAAGAGTTGTGGTCCTCCCCTGGGCTGGTTTATAAGAGGAGGTTGTAACTGGGGTGGTGGCAAAATTTCTCTTCCTGTAGTAAGGGGGGGGGGGGGTTATTGGTCACCCACAAAAGTCCTGTTGCCTCTCCTCATTAACCACGAACCTCAAGATTCAGACTCGTGAATCAGGAGCATTTATAGACAGAATAATGCATCAGAGTCTACTGCCTTCGGGTTCACGAGTCTGAATCTCGGGGTTCATGGAACAGCAGGAGAGGTGACAGGACTTATGTGGGTGACTGTACTTAGGAGAGTAGAAGTCAAGGGACTGATCCTTGACTTGTGGAACTGGTGAAAGGAAAAAGGCAAGAGCAAGTAGAAAGAAAAAAAAAGAAAAGAAGAAGAAAGAGGAAAAGCTTATCTGCCCCAAATTTGCATCAATAGCAACTGTTAAATCAGGTTCCTAATGCATAATTATCATGTATACAGTAATAATGTCTTGGTGTCACCAAAAAACAATGAATTAACACTAAATTGTCACCTCAGGTCGTATCACGTGGGAAAATCCAGTACCGGAACTCCCAGAAATATCAGTTAACTAGTGGAGACCTGCCCATCAGTGTGGAGCACCTGGTGGAGCCTCTGCCTCCTCCTATTGAGGGCACCGTCAGGGGAGTCGTCAGCATCAACGTCAATCTTCCCCCGACAGCTTCTCCTAAGGCCAAGGTTTGTGAGGAATGTTTAGTGTTATTGTTTTAGCGTCAGATGATGTTACCTGTTGTAGGACTGGCCACAGTTCTCAAATCTTCAAAGTATTTTACCCTAGCGTAAACCAACCCTTAAAATCACGAGCTTTTGCTTGGATGTGTTTGGGGTGTTGCAGGAGTCAAAAGGACAACTATTGTATATAATACTCATGTGTGATCTCTCAAGAATATATTATGTTAGGACAGTGGATAGTTGTGCATGAGAGGTGAGTGCCACAAACACCTCGGCCACTCAGGCTACTTAGACAGATTTTTCAAAAGAAGTAAATATTAATAAACTGGAAGAACCTTGTAACATTATGTGACGTCATGTGACTACGAACATTCAGGCAAAAAGAAGAGGAACAAATAGAACCAGTGTGGTACACCTGGGAGACTCAGGTGTAGTAAGACAATGTGTTGCAGGTGTTGGTGTGGTACACCTGGGAGACTCAGGTGTAGTAAGACAATGTGTTGCAGGTGTTGGTGTGGTACACTCGTGAGGACGGGGAGGTGGTGGCAGACACCAGAGAGCTGGAGGTGGAGAAGTGTCTTGGTAGCAGCGCCAGTCTCACCTGGTCAGAGTCTCAGGCACAACCTGGACAACAGACCACTTTGACTCTCTCGTCAGATCCAAACTCCGTGTGTAGCCTCGGTATGTATCACTCACTCTCCACACTGTTGACCCACAAACTGTGTGATGGACAGAGAAATGGTTCACCCATTCCTTTTGTATAAAAGTAAGATAAATGGTAATGTGACAAACTCAATATTTACCAGAGTATGTATCAAACAAGGTTCAGTTTAGTTTATATTGATTCGTCATGTTTAAAGACAAGGTAGGTATACAATACACCATGTATACATAAAGTGCCGGTACACAATATACATACATAGTGTAGGTATATCAAAAAAATTGACTGAGGCAGTGCAGGTATACGAACATTGGCAAGCAGAAAGTTACAGTAATTCGACCAAAGATAGCCAAGAAAGCCATCAGATGTTGGTTTCCAGTAAGATCCATTAGGTGTGCTAACTTTAAACCACAGTCCTGTACTCACACTTAATTACTACAGGTGTGGTGGACAGAAGCTCAGAGCTCTTGGCAACAGATCCTGACCCCATCACACTGGAGAAACTGTTCAACTTTGCCGATGACTTTGACATAAATCCCTGGCGGAACTCCCAAGTCAACACCCATAAGTATTGTCATGATAAATATCTCCAGAAATTAACACCAGGAGTCAGTTCAGATCAAGGTTAGTTAATTGTCTTCTTTGTTTGTTATTATTATTATTATTATTATTATTATTATTATTATTATTATTATTATTATTAATGTTATTATTATATTATTATTATTATTATTATTATTATTATTAATTATTTATTTACTTCTTTTTGTTTGATCTTTGTTTCTTTTTCTACTTTTTTCTTCAAACAAATAAAAAGTAGATTACTGGCTTGATAAAGTCCAAATAACATAGACATCTAGTGATTGAAGTTTGGATCACCAGAAGATAATCCACTCCTCCTAATCCTATGTTCGTCTTGAGATTAACCACCCTAACTCTCACCTAATGCTAACCTGACTCTCACCAGATACATAATCTAACCTAACATAACCAAACCCAACCTAACCAGATAGCCAAACTAACCTAACCCTCCCCTCCCTCCAAGGTAGCGGCAGTGTGTTTTAATCATCAGGTGAACTAAACTGGAGGAATTAATCTGAAGCTTCAATATTCGGATTTTGTCTAAATTTCAATGTTTTGTTGATTTATTAATTGACATTTACACTTACAGGGGGGATTGGCTTTCCAGGCCCTTCATGGCATCAATCCTACTACAGCGATTATGTGGACGCTCTCAGTATGTTTGATGTGAGTTGACATTAGATTAATTTATTCCTTGATTAGTTGATTCAGTTAAAAATTAATATGGGTGTATACTGTATTTAACCTAATTGTATAAAAGTTGCTCGTTTCAGTTATCTCTGCCAATGTTATTATAATTGTTTTCTTTTATCGTGTTATGTTTCACTTCTGCTCATACTGGTACCGATAATAGAGATAAAATTAATAGTAAATTTGATGAATAATGAAAATATTTATATTGGTGTGTGTACTGTGTCACCTCTGGTAATACTGGTGTCAATATTATTAGTGTCATCTTTGTTATTATTATTATTATTATTATTATTATTATTATTATTATTATTATTATTATTATTATTATTATTATTATTATTATTATTATTATTATTATTATTATTATTATTATTATTATTATTATTATGTCTTCAGAACTCTGGCCTGTATATCTTCACTGACCTGACTGTTGAGACGAGGCCGTGTGAGAAAGAAGGTAACCTAATATTCCTTGTTCATGTTTATCACTGTCACAGACTGACTCTTGTCTTTGAGAAAATATAATTTTCAACCCTTGGCATATTGAGCTGTTCAGTCTTTACAGGTAAACATTTCTTGAAACAAACAGTATACTGTACTGTAGCATCATTATGTGAGCTCCCATGGGACACTTCATGGTAAGTGTCTGTAAAAATTTTACGTTATCTCTCAGGGAGATGTTATGTTAGATCCCAATAAAAACGTATTTTAAAGTTTAGATCTGATGATATTATCTTTTCATGGCTGGTCCTGCACAGCCACCAGTCATGTGGAGCATAAACAGTGGATCTGCTGTCAGGGCTTCCATGCTTACTTAATTTTTCCTCCAACCTCCAGCTCATTTTCACCATTCTCCAGCTCGTTGTCTGAGGGTTGTTGAATTCTCGTACATTTGGATTTCCTCCAGCTAAGATTGACGTATGAATTGAATCATTTGAAACTATTTTCTAACTCTAAGATATTTGATAACTTTTGTCTTTACCTAGTATAATTGGTAAGCTGTAAGGACTATGGTGAATATTGATGGTTTAATTATTACAATAATTGCCTGAATATTAATAAGCTGTCATTTGATTCCTGTTCTTACATATCAAAACAAACCTCCTTTGCATGTCACATTGCTTCACCAGAATGGCAACTAATATGTAGCAGCAGCTGATTTTACGGAATAAAGAAGCAGAAGGTTCTCTTATTGAGAAAATAAGAGAGTACCCCGCATTTTATTGTAATTTTTAGCAATGGAATATTCGATCATTGCTATTAATTCGTAAAATTGGTTTCTGTCGAGTCATATCACTGTCTGTAGCTCTTGTGATCTAGAGCTACTCATGCAGCAGCGTCTTAATACCCTTTGGCCCACTTGTTTTCTTCTTGACAGCCAGTGCCGCCGCCATAATTTGTTTTCCTCTTTTGCACCTTTTCCTGTATCGAAGTGAGGAAAAAATGCTGCTGCAGCTTTCCCTCATAAGTAGCCTGTCGTCCATAAGAATTCCTTCATGTTTGTTGCTATGGCTTGAGGTTGGAGATGGTAATGGGCGAGGTGCGTGTGTAATACAGTACGTAGTCCGTTTTTGGAGACGGAGCACATCTAACGATAGGTTGGGGGAAAAATGCACATGTCTGTTTAGTCAACTACACCAGAGCTGGGTAAAGGAACTTCTCTTGAACTGGTTGTTTTGTGAGTTGGCTCTGACAGCTTACTTAAAATCATTAAAAAGTAAATTATTATACATCATGCAGTAAGGAAACCAATAACTAAACATAGAAGCAAGATAAATTTGTAGTAAATATTGGAAGTGTAGCTATAATTAAAAAAAATAAAATGTCAACTTGATCTCTTCATTTACGAATAAAACTAACCGTCCTTTTTTATCCTTTCAGAGCGACATCATTATTTCGAGACAGCTGGCCTCCCTGGCTTTGCTTTTGGTGGTGCTTCTGGTAGTGCTGGTAATGGTGGTGGTGGTTTGGGGGGTCCTCCGCCGTCTCCCCAAGCATCCTTTGCACCTACTACTACTAATCCATCTGCCTCTAGACCCCCAAACGTTGAGAGTTCCGTCTTCAGTAATAAGGAAGATAGCGAGGAAGTGGCAGATTCTCCCAGGACCAATTTCCCCGAAACTTGGCTTTGGGATATTGTCGTTCTGCCGTGAGTATTACCTTTCATTTACTGTATATTTATTGTTTACCAATTATCTAAATGATATAAATGGTTAGAACTTTTTTTATAAGATGTTCCTTGAATCTGGAATTTTCTTAACTGTCAGTTTGTTAGTGATGAACAAGCTGTGACTGTAATAGTTCATGCAGGACACATATGTCAGTTTTAGTGTGTAATTCCGTCAGAGAATGTTGAACTGAAACACTCTTTGCTGACAACTTAGGTACAGTACAGTTAGTTATATCAGTGTATGTTGTACACAGATCGTCTGGGGTGAACAGCCAGGACCTGACCCTTCCTGACACCATCACACAGTGGGTGGGCAAGGCCGTGTGTGTCCACCCAGAGAAGGGCGTGGCACTGTCTGAGAGGGAGTCCATCACTACCTTCACCCCCTTCTTCGTCGACCTCACCCTTCCCCCCACTGTCAAGCGTGGCGAGATACTCCCCGTCAAGATGTCCATTTTCAACTACCTAGACCGACCAATACCTGTAAGTATTCAGTAATTACTAACCAGGCCAGCCAGTACCTGTAAGTATTCAGTAATTACTAACCAGGCCAGCCAGTACCTGTAAGTGTTCAGTAATTACTAACCAGACCAGCCAGTACCTGTAAGTGTTCAGTAATTACTAACCAGACTGAGCAATACCTGTAAGTCATTACAAAGAAAGTAATAGCTCTTATAAATTTTAATTGTTGATGATTTATGTAAGTATTAATGTAGTATACAGCTTAATGACCTTAGCTGTTGAAGCCTGTTAATGTACTATAACATTAACACCAAGTCTTATGTTTGTAAGGATACAGAATATTATTGATTTATTTGTTGAAACACCTTATAAATATTTAATTATCCTAATACCATATATAGTCATATAAATCCACAATGTTCTTCATTTACGCGATTTAAGGATGATTAAGATACAGTCGTCAACCATAGTCTATACACAGTACATTAATGTTGGAGGATACACTCTGGCATATATATGGTCTTCCTCAACCCAAAACACCTGACAGGGATTACCAAGACCAAGTACTGACAGTCTTCTTTGGTTTAACTACATGATGTGATCTTTTGAAGCATGATGCAAGAATAAGACTTTAATTAATCGGATCCCTGATGAAAAGCCCCTAGCTTATTTCACATTAGGATTAACCAATCTTACTGCTAATCTAACCTAATCTAACCTTCCCAGTTAGCATTAGAGTGTTTAATCATCAAGTGACATAAGCTAGGGGGCTAATCTTCAGATGATCCTCGTATTTACCTTAGGTTGATTGAGACATATATCAACAACTTCAATCAGAATAGTCCCGCTATCAGAAGACGTCATGTCATATGAAAACTGTACACTCAAAAGTGTCAAACTTATCGTGCAGGCATGAAAAGAGCTCCAGTGGTGATGCCGGACACACACACAGAGCTATAATACCTTACCCCTTTGACTACAACTGAATCATGATTTATCCTGGTCACTGGTTATAACAACAACAACAAGGTGTTTCACTGCCTGACTCTACCTCTAAACCTGTAGGTGAGTGTGAAGGTGGAGCAGAGTGAAGAATACGAGATCATACAGGAGCCAGGAGCACCAGGCGAGCTTGGACGGCGTAGCTCGTGTCTACCAGCACAAGACAAGGTTGTCCACACAGTCAAGATCAAGCCACTGGTGATCGGAGAAGTCAACATTACGGTGTCGGCGTTCGTGGACTACCAGTACCCTCAGCCATGTGGGTCAGTGGACACCTCCATCCACAGAAGGTCTGTTAAATACTCTCTTGTTCAGTTTAATGATAGTCTGCTGTTTCACAAAAATTTGGTTTACACTTGGATTAAAATTATTTGAGGCCCATAACTTGATGCACCTAAAGGAAACCTTAATTTGTATATTGATAATGAATTTTGAAGATCACCTGAAGATTAGGCTCTCCTATTTATTTCACCTGATGATTAAACACCCCAATGCTATTAGGGGGCAAGGTTATGTAAGGTTAGATTAGCATTAGGGTAGTTAATGTTAAGTTTAAAGCTTATCCCCAGGTGATCCCACACATCAAGTTTCTGGGTTTAGTAGCAAGCGGTGTATTTGTCCTCCCACAGTGATGCTCTTATCAAGCCCATCACGGTTGAGGCTGAAGGATTCCTGCGGGAGAAGACCTGGACCAAGTACATCTGCACAAAGGGTGAGACTTTAACAGATATATTACTCTATAGTACGTAGTAGTTGGCAGCTATCGAACAGGGAGGTACTACCGCCTGGGAAGATATTGGAAGCATGATGTATTGTCTGCTGCCATGTGGTATCACCAAAACTGTAACCAAGTCCCAGGTTGCTGACCTGACTTTCTGCCTCATTTACACACAATTGCAGGGTTTCAATATTTTCTATACTTTGATCAACACAACATACATATATTGCTTCTCACTTTTGATCTTTTTTTTAATTTTTGTATTGTATTTCTTTATTATTATTATTATTATTATTATTTTTATTATTATTATTATTATTATTATTATTATTATTATTATTATTATTTTATTATTATTATTATTACACACACACACACACACACACACACACACACATATATATATATATATATATATATATATATATATATATATATATATATATATATATATATCAGAGTACAATATTGTCTTATATCTGTCTATTATTACAACATTAAGCTTTCACTAGTTTCTCTATGATGACAACATTAAGCTTTCACTAGTTTGTCTATGAGGAGAGCATTAAGCTTTCACTAGTTTACTGTTTGTTTTACTGAAGTAACAAGTTAGAGTTAAGAATCTCAAAATTATTTAGACCTATACTGTGTTTTTTCTCACTACTGTATAGTATATCCAGTATAAATTCTAGTGTTATTATCCACTGTATTGGGTGAATGAGGTAATGGGAGTCCCAGCAGGTATGGAAGAGTCAGTGTGCACCTGAATTCTTTAACGATATAGCTGTTCCTTGGTATGCCTACATTTGGTCACAATTAGAACAAGGCGATAACGATAGTGTTAATGGTGCACAGGGACTTTTTGATCACCTCCTTGCTGTACCATAACACGAAGGGTTGTTGACAAGATGCTTCTGTTGGGAGAATTACTCCTTAAATCCAACTTGTACAGATGATTAAGGAAAAGAATTGCAATTAATCATAGTTCTTATAAGGTTCACTATGTCTTCTCCTACTGCCAGACTTCGAGACAGGAGAAGACTCACTGGAGGCCTGGGAGCTGGAGACGCCCTCGGCCATCGTGGAGGGGTCAGAGCGAGCCTGGGTTACCGCCGTGGGTGACCTCCTCGCTCTCACACTCGAGGTATGCTCAGTATCTCTCTTGTAGTCTTCATGGCTTTGTAAACCTTTATTAATGGGTATGAATAGAAATGCAAACTGTACAGCCTTACCTAGAGGCCAGTTAAAAGGCTGTGGGGTAACCTTTAAACACACAAGCATCAAGTGCTAATTATACTGTACAGTACACCAGATCCTTGCCAAGCTCCTGGACACATGTTCTCCTCCGCCACCTCTCACACATTATCCAGTCCCACCGTGTTGGCCGCTATAGTGGATGTAATCAAGTTTCTTGACTTTCACACAAGTGTATCTCTTCAAAACAGAACAGTGGATTGACTTGATTGCTCACCGATACAGCCACCTTAAAGTGTTACAGGGGTGGATCCTGGAGTATCAAATGGGAGGGGGTCCAAGAAATTGTGGGTGAGGGAACAATGGGAAGGATAGCGAGCCCACCTTGCTGTGAGAGGGGCGCTGTAAACCCCCACCTACAATTATTATTATTTTTAAATCTGACCAATATCGTGGGCATTTTAAAACCATTTTAAAGCCTTGTGCACATGATATTAGTTGATATTCTGAGGTTAATAGTAATTACTTTTTACTACTCAAAAATACCTGAGTATAATACTGTATTAAAAAAGTATTGGAATTTTCTGATCACTTTTTTTATTTGACCTTCATACCCAAATACAAACTAAATACCGACTGCTAAAATTTATCATTACTCTTTAATCTTAATGTGAAATTAGTTGGGGCTAATCTTTAGGTATTTCGTTCATTTCCCCAGGAGAATATAACTTCCGTGACAAATAGCTAATTTCACACCACTTTCAACAGAACCTGGGACACCTGATCCGTATGCCGTATGGGTGTGGAGAGCAGAACATGGTTAACTTCGCCCCCAACATCTATATCATGCAGTACCTCGAGGCCTCTCATCAGACTACCCCGGAGAGCACCAAGAAGCTGCTCAACTTCATGAAAACAGGTGATTTAAATATTACTAAACCAAAGGAAAAAGTTAGTTGTTTTTGAAAAAGGAGAGAGTATTAAGAAACCAATAGCGTGTTGTGCTAGTTGCTGTTCTGTGGAGATAATTTACTGTTGCGAAAATAATAAAGAAAATTAAGACATTGAACCTAAAATCTACATCAAGAAAAGTATCCTAAAGTTTAGTTACTTCAGCAGAACAGCTTCTTATTATTTGTATTTGATGAATGCTGGTACTGTATACACGAGAGAGAGAGACGTACAGTAATGAAGTTATCTTACAAGAGCACCACCAATGTACAGTGTCGCATAAGTACCACAGGGAAAATGCATAACTATAATAAATTTCCAAATGTAACGTCATCTACTTCAAAACACATGTTGATTTTATATTGAACACGATACTGTAACTCTCATAAGCTTGTCTGCTTGAAACAGTTAACAAATCTTGCAACAGTTGTGTGATAAATGTTCTTGCCTGGGTGTTGGCGATTAAATTCCTTCACAATTGATCGGTGTGTAGCAACTAGACTCTCCATACATGAATATTAATCTGAATCTTTCCTTTAGTGTTAATTTCTCTGTCATTTTCATTGATTTGTTATGATTCTCTCACCTGAAAAAGAAAGAAGAGAGTGTTTATTTTCCTATAAGTGCGCACCTTAAGAGATAACGGAGGTCTGGCTATCTAAAACATATTTACTTACTGTATATGTCAGTGACTTCTTGAGTATAATAATATAAGATTATAAGTTACATACTTAATTCCTTTGAAGAATATGAATCCTTCAATTATATTTATTTTAATTTTTTGGAAAACTTAAATACCCTGTACTTGATTATAGTAACTTTCCATGTCCAACAAATTTGTCTCTGAAGTACAGTATAGTGATATATGCCACTGCACTTAGTAGTTGATCAAATACTCTCACATCAGGCTACCAACGGGAGCTCCTGTATCGACGTAACGATGGCTCCTACAGCGCCTTCGGGAACGCTGACAATTCTGGTTCTACCTGGCTGACGGCCTTCGTACTCAAGTCGTTCGCCCAAGCTCAAGAGTATATCTCAGTGAGTAGAGATAAAATTGTATTTAGAAGTTATTCTTAGTTACTTTTTTACGTTTATCCTCTTCACCACTGATCGGCTCGTTAGCTGCTTGAGCGATCGGTCACGTGTCTGTTACGCACTGTTAGCAAGTACTTGGCATGCACCGGCTCCTGAATGTACCTGAACCTGCTCCAGTGTTGGTTAAGGGATAAGGGATAAAGGGATAAGGTCGATGGCCCTGGAAATACCGATAAGATCACCTAACCTAAACTAACTTATTGCTCTCCCAGCCTAACACTGCTAACCTAACCTAATGCTAACATATTATAATGCAATGCTAATCTAACCAAACCTAACACAATCTAACCTAACCAACCCTAACACCACCTTAACCTAACACTAACCTAAATTATCCTAACGTTATCAGTGCTTTATCGTAAGTTATATTTCCAGATTGACAAGGCAGGGCTGGACCAAACAAGCAAATGGCTTCAGTCACATCAAGACAAAGAAGGCTGCTTCAGATCTGTCGGCAAAGTCTTTCACAAGGGCATGAAGGTAAGTGTGAGTCCCATATGAGCTTAACATTACAGTAACTATGTAGCAAAGTGACAGATACAGTACAGTACTTTATTTTTAGGATCACTGGAAAGATTACACAACCCAGATTATTTCACCTGAAGAGTAACCACCCTAATGCTACCTGAAGGGGGGGGGGGGTGGATGTTAGGTTAGCATTAGGGTAGTTAATTCTCAGGTGGTTCAACTGCTCCATTTCCTAGATAAATGTTACTGGGTTCAATCTTTTACCATCTATATGAAACACTACAAGCCAGTCGGTAGTACATAATGTTGGTTCTTGTAAATACCTGTAGTATTATTTAGCATTTCTGTAGATCTATACAACTTGAAATTTTCACATACCAGTTAGCTATGTAGAAATGTACATAATTATATTCATAAAGATTAACTCCAGAATGTGCTTCATGTTTCATATATGCTATGGCCTATCATTATGTTGAATTTTAATTAAGTGATGATACCTGCCAGCTCTCTGGATTTTATATATTTTGGATTTCATCAGTTGTGTGTAGAACGTCAGATTACAGGTAGCTTTACATCGTGTATTTGTACGTGATTAAGTACACCACGTGTGAATGATAAAATAATAATAACCACACATCAAGGATACTACCAGACTGGTGTGCTGTAGCAATGACCTTGTAATTAAGATCTTAATAGCCATATACCGTGTACAGTATTTATCAGATTTATTACATTCTCAGTAGTATATATGATGACTAAGTTTCAAATTGGTGTTTAAGACAGTTTCTCAAATAATTTCGTACTTTTGCTAATTATATTAAACTTGCGACTTAAACACACACACACACACACACACACACACACACACACACTTGGATGTCTCGGGAAAATGTATACACACTCTGCTTTATAGATTCTTGTGGAGATGGATCGCATGAATGTTCGTATTGCAAAAGAAACAATGTTCTCACATGTTGATATACAAGGTCTCCCACAATTGGGGACAGTGTTGTTGTTATAATGCAAGAATTTTTGTGCTCTCCATTAAAATCTGTAAGGCACTGTGTATTATGTGTACACTTTTTAGACACCCTCTATGGTCATTAATCCCACAACATCCTGTAACAGGGTGGTATTGCTGGCAGTGACTCTCCTGTACCTCTGACGGCCTATGTGATGATCTCTCTGCTGGAGACCGGGGATGACTCCTGTAGTGCCGCAGTTTGTCTGGCTGCCCAGTGCCTACAGGCCGACACCTCCCAGGACCCCTACACCCTGGCCCTCAAGTCCTATGCCCTGGCCTTAGCTAAGGTGCCTCAGGCTGATGAAGTTTTCCAACAGCTTCTTGATCAAGCTATCATAGCCAAGAACTCTACCCACTGGGAACTACCTAAAGGACCAGGTAGGTAGTTTGCTTTTATCCTCTTCATCGCTTGGGCGATCGGTCACGTCTATGTTACTCACTGTTGTTAAGTACTGGGCATGCACTGGCTGATGGCTCCTAAGGTTGTGGTCACCTGGTAGAAGACTTGTATGGGGAACACTTGTGCCAGATGAAAGTTGAGATTTAGTTTGTAAGAAATTAATGAAAATATACTATCACAAGCACATGCATAGACAGCATATTCTCAACACTTGATGTATGTAACACGTGCCTTACACCTTCAGTACCGGAGTTGTAAAGTGATGAAGTAAATTTACCTGAGTACTGTACTCACTCAAGTAACTTTTTTGGTATTTACATTTTAAAAAGTACTAAAATTTGTCAGTTCTTTTACTTAAGTATGGTTTTCTACTATCTTTATTCCAATACAGTTGAAAAAAAATTGTTACTTGTTACATGCAAACAATAGAGTTTCAAGTATCCAATCACAGGACACAAGACAAACTTGCAAGCTAAGCAATCACAAGCATTTCTTCATGTCTGTTGCTTCAGAGCATCATGCTGGGCCTATATGTATTTAGGCCTAAAAGATTCCTATTGGGTAGCCATAATTTTGAGAATCTGTTATTCATTAATATCAATAGAAATATTTGCAAATTAAACATGTGTAATGCGATATGTTTTTATTTTTATATTTAGTTAACCAGTTTTTTATAATTTACTGTAGCTTTAGTTTATTATTTGAGGCGATTAATAATTTTGTTGTTTATTTTTACTTTATGAATATTTACTTCTACTTGAGTACATTGAACTCGGGATACTTTTACTTCTACTTGAATAACATTTTGCCAATGTAACAATCCTTTTACTTAATTAACAAAGTCCGGTGCTTTTTACAACTCATTTCAGCACTATGCTCTTCAGTGTGTGGATTCACTGTAGGGATCTTGCATGTAATAATGTTAAGGGGACTACTTAAAACCTCAGAAGTGCCATACTAAATATGTTCACCCTTAACGTCAAAATATTATTATTGCAAGTTACCCCTGTATGATACTTTGTAGTTTTGCAGTATCATAAATTCATTAAAGTATTGATTATTTTTATAGATACGGCAGTGCCCAAGTATATGTACTGTATATATACTGTATATGTTTTGTCAGGAAAAAGTAAAGCAGTAGCGGTGGAGACAGCTGGATATTCTGTCATGACTATGATGACTCTGGACCCTAAGAAATATGAACAACAGGCCAGGAAGGTTGTGAAGTGGATAACGGCACAGAGAAACGGACAGGGAGGATTCTACTCAACACAGGTATGGTTGAGTGAAACAAATTCTAACCCATTTTAATTAGTCCCTCGAGAGTGGTATACTGTATACTGTAAGCATATGTGCCATAATTATACAGGTTACTAAACTCTCTTCCCAGGAGTATTTTTGATAATAAATGCTTGAGAAGTATTTAGGAATCCTGATGAATGCATGTGCAAGGAAATGAGTCCCGAGCAGTGTAGATTTTTTTTATTTTGTTCAGTCACACAAAGAATGAATTGAAGACAAAGTAAAAAATCACTGTCCCTTCCTGATAAGAAATGGGGTTTAGAACAAATGGCTGATAGGGTAGAAAGACAGAGAACTGCATGATGAAGTAACACGCGGCCTCACAGCTACTGTGCTCTGCCACTTTAATTTGTCTTTCTTCCATGATGTCCAGGACACAGTGGTGGCCCTCCAGGCTCTGGCCACGTATGAGTCCCACTTGTACCAGGGCCCCTTGAGCGTTGTGGCAACAGTGACAGCTACTGGGCTCTCCCATTCCTTCACTGTCACAGACGACAACAAACTCCTGCAGCAGCTGGAAACACTGCCAACACTCCCCACCACCGTCTCTATCACTATGGAGGGCCAAGGATGTGCTGTTCTCCAGGTAAGATTAACACGAGTTGACTTTATTAGTGTACAGTACTTGAGACATTAAGATAATCTGCTCTAGGAGCTTTTTGTCATCTGTTTTTATCACTACTTATCAGTAATATAGATAACTAAAATGTTGGGGTTATCCTCGCTATCACCTGCAGGCTGTTCTTCGGTATAATATTCCTGAGCCTGAAGGAAGTGATGCCTTCGACCTGACTGTCAACACCAACACGGCTCCAGACAACAAGTGCGTCACCAAACGCATCACGGCCTGTGCTTCCTATCGCCTCCCTGATGGCAAGTCTAACATGGCTGTCATCGAGGTGGACCTCATCTCTGGTTACATCCCTGAAAAAGAAGACCTGAAGAAACTTGTGAATGACAACGTCAACATAAAGCGTTATGATGTGGATGACGGCAAAATTGCCTTCTACATTGAAGAATTAACTGCCCAAGACACCTGTGTAAACTTCCGTGCGATACGAGTGGTTGACGTGGAGGATGTGAAGCCTGGCACAGTGCGTGTTTACGACTACTACCAGCCTGAGTTCGAGATATCCAAGGTAAGTTTACTGTGTTTGGTCAGTGTATTAAAATTTATGCAAAAGTATTTTTTAATGAACTAGTAGTATAGAAACGTTGTCACGTATTTAGATACTAAAGCATCGTAAATTGGTGTGTCATAAGATGTACACTGACTGTACAGTATATCCTATCTTATCTCTAGACCACCAGAGCTGGAGGGATGTTGCTGCCCTTTTGCCTCTTCATTCATCTATGTATTTGTTGACTTTATTTATCCTCTTGTTTTCACCTAAATGAAGCTAATTTTTTATAATTATCATGGCCCGTAGATGTGGCTCTCACAGAAGATATTCAAAGGGAATATTCCTAAATTACATAATTTGTTACACCTTGGTACCCAGGGGTCACCTGGAGTTAGTACAGACCTGTTTTTACACCCAGCCAAAAGAAATCGAGCTGTGTTCAGAAGAATAAACACTGTTATGAACACACACACTAGATGGACTCTGTCTTTCATGTCGTGACAAGCAAAAATCAAGATGAAAACAAATTACAACTAGCACATGTACATATAACACTCCTCCTATACACTATTTAACATGACAGTTGGCTTAAGTCAATGAGTTGATGTTGAGTAGTTTCAACTAAGTGGCCATTATATCAGCGTGGAAGACAAACCCTGCCCAGTACATAACGTCCCCACATACTTGTTATGTCTACAGTAAATAAGAGTTGCATAATATTGCATGATTTTGTTCTCTTTTTATGACTTAAATTAAAGTTTACTAATTTTGTTGAAGGAAAATTTAGCCCAAGCAAACCCATGAGATCAAGGAGGAATTGTGTGGACCAAATGCCTGTCAGGTAGTATCATCTCAGCTCGACAGACATTTGGTTAGATTTTCTTTTTCGCGCTCTCACCTAAGACTACTTTGTGAATTTTCAATGAAATTTTGTAGATGGTTGCCTAGTGTGGTTGTTCTTAATGACTGGAGACGAGAGCCTGATTGATGTACATGATCCTGTTTCATCACCCAGTGTGTTGCTCTCCACATGTACCATTTTAATGCTGCCTCTTATTAATAGTCAATGTTTTCTCTTCCTATAGAATTACAAACTGCCGCCCACAAATGAATGCCGCTAGATAGCCCAGCCCTAGTGCTGGTATTCCTTGTGTCACTAGTTGATACTGAGTTTATTAGCTGATGCTGAGGTTACTTAGAAAAGCTGGCGTGTCAAGTTGATGCCGAAAACAATTGCCGATCAACTATCAACCTTGAGCTGCAGTCTTCATCGTCTACCCTGCACATGATGTACTCTCCCACTCTTATTGCCCACTGTTATTTGTGTTTACTGACGTCACTCGGCCACTGTGTTTAGTGTGTCATGTCCTGCTAAGCTGAATTAAGTCTGTTTTTTTTGTATTATCTTGTCTTGTTGTTGATGATGTTTCTCACTCTATACTGAAGACTAAAATAATAATTGTTGAGGATGAAATCTTAAGTGCTTCGAAACAGTCAGTTGACGAAATGCAATAAACTGTCCGGAAACCTCTGTTTTTTTTGTTCTCCACTTCTATAATTAATTAAATGCTGATTCTCATGTTTGCTATTTTTATTTACTTTTACTTTTATCTTCTTCGCCACTGATCGGCTCATTAGGCGCTTGGGCTGTTGGTCACTTCTCTGTTATGCACTGTTGGCGGGCACTGGGCATGCACTGGCTCCTGAATGTATCTGAACCTGCTCCAGTGCTGGTCAAGTCTGGTCTTGAAACAGCTCACTAAAGGCCTTTGCAGTAATTTCGCAGTCATTATATACATTAGCCATTAGCAATTGAAAGTTAACGAGACAAAATCACTCTCGGTAAATGTTAGGTAGATTGTCCATCACTAGATGAAATACGTCTTTCATTGGATCACCTGATGATTAGTATCCAAGCTTATTTCACCTTAGATCAATCACCCTAACGCGATACCAACCTAACCTTTCCTAACCTAACCTTACCTAACCTTACCTAACCTAACCTAACCTAACCTTGCCTAACCTAACCTAACCCAACCTAACCTTACCTAACCTAACCTTACCTAACCTAACCTAACCCAACCTAACCTAGCTTAATAACCTAAACTCATCTAACCCTCAGAGAGCAAAAGGGTGATTAATTATCAGGTGAAATAAACTGGAATGGGCTGTATCGTTTGGTATTCTCTTCCAAGCTCCGCTCCTTACAACCTTTATAATACATATTTTTTTAATCCATTCTGGAAGTTCCGAAAAAAGAAAGAAAATTCCATGAACTCAAAGACGAGAGGCAGGAATATTAGGATAAACTTGTGGTGCTGTGACGAGGAGAAGTGAAAGTACGAGAATACTTTTCCTCGAATGAATTGTTCAAGATTCCCTTTTCTCAACTGACACTATCTCCTTTAACCTCTCCTCTTGACCTTCGCCTCAGCCATCCTCACAAAAATTAAAACTCACTTTCACGAGTGAAATTTTCCTATCTTCCTACTGCTCTCGACACGAAGAAATCAAACTCCCCTGCTGAGAATTTTGCACGTGCACGTGTTACGTCAATCACGTATCCAAGGAATATTTAATATTAGATGTTCCTTGCAATGTAAGCTTGCTACCTGATATGATCAATGATTAATTATTTCTTTCACGACTGAGAGATTTAATTTTTACATTCAAGTGCCGTTTAAAGCAACCCAAAACCAGTTCTTCAGTCTTGTGCAATGAAAACAACTTGTCTTCTCCGTGAACCTGTAAGAGGAGTCGGAAAGAGGGTGGATTTAATACCAAATTCACTTGATACCAGAACAAAGAACAAGTAACTAAATGGTGATAAATATATATTAGACTTCCCGTTTTGTAATTCATTTAGTTATTCATCTATCTCACTTTATCTGTTCATCTGTATTTGTTTATTTTTCTCGCTAAATAGATATCGTACGTACGTTTACGGTACAGTATAGTGTAGCGATGTAGTGTGGAAGGAGGCGATAATAACTGAAATTCCAAGGTCAGACAAAGGGTAGCTGGACCGACCACTGCCCGTGTTACCTCATTACTACCACCTTCACGATCATCCCGTGGCCACCACAAACATCTATACCTCCGCCCTGATAACGCTACAGCCATCAATACCACCCGACACAACCACAACTACCTCTACCCTGATAACCCTACAACCACTCGACATTACTGCAACCATTACCTGACCATGACGACCATTTTCATCAATAATTATTTGTGCCCGAAAAAAAAAGATAATAATCCTAAGCTTCTGCTTCTCCTGGACGCCTTTGTTTGCTCACTTGTTTATATACAGTACAACAATAAAAGCTGGGAAGTATTTATTGATTCTCCTACCTAATCTCTCCGCACCTTTCCAAGAGATACAATTACAGAATACAATATGAAGGTATCGCAGACGTAGAGTCGCCGGCAGTGTTCAGGGGTCATTCCCTTTACCTACAACATCGTCTTGGAATTCTTATGAGCTGATACTGAAGTCCTCGGGAACTACCGGACGTTAAAACTGCAAGAATATTCTCGTCATCTAAGAAAAAATGTAAGAATATTCATTGCCTTTGAGAAAAATTGCAGGAATATATTCAACGCTGTAAATAATATGCTAGATACTTTTCTTGCAGTGAAGGAGAAATAATAAGAATAGTCCTAAAGGAAGAGTAGTTTCTGCTGTCATTAACGAGACAAAAACTGGTGTGTGTGTGTGTGTGTGTTGGAGGCTATGAGAAAAAAGAAAGAATATTTAGTAGTTAGCGTATTAATTAACTCTGAGGCAGCTGCTACAGGTAGATACACCCAACCCAACCATTATCACATGTACCAAATCCAACCGATATTAATTTTAACACTTTCAAATGTCTTATACTTGAATGATGTTCTTTAGTAACTTGTTCCACTCGTCAATAACTCTATAGTATTTTCTAAATCTTAACGCTGTATTGGATCACATCTCCCTCAACCTACCGTACGTCTCTCAGAGGAATCCACTTGTGTCTTTATAATTTTTCATAAGCAAAATTCCTAAAGCCTAGTATTGGTTGAAGTCACAGATGCCCTCTAGTAAAAACCATATAGAGTGATTACAAATTTGTTATCATTGTTTTAAGAGATTTTCCCACAATTGATGTTAAGCTCATTGAATGAAAGTATGAGGATAGTATTTTACCCACCTTTTTAAAAGCAGGAATTACGGAATCTTCAGGTTTATAGTAAAATACTTGATTTTAGTAACTTATTGATCAAATATCGCCAATAAGCAAAATATTTTCTTTATATCCCTTTTAGACTCAACTAATGTCATTATCGGGACCTGGTGACTCAGATGACTCTAGTTTATAAAATTGCTTACGAGCTTTATCAGTACTCACTTATAATTTACATAATCTAATTTTTTCGCTTCCTCTACATAAGCCAATTACACAGGGATTCATATACAGTATACACATTCTTCAGCGAGATGCCGATAAATTATAACTATTCGCATAATTGTCCATCTCTCCTTTAGTCAGTAAGCTGTCTTGAATCTGATAGTAGTGACGAAACCTAACCACGTGCTTTTGGGACTTATCCGTGCTTCTCCCATTACTAATATCTCTATATGTTAATCTTATATCTAATTTGACTTTTCAGATTTAAATTATTAAAAACATTATTGGTAGGTGAATGTGTCCCAGTAGATTTTTCTGGTTATGCCTTTGTCAATCCCGTGAGACTTGGCATCACATGAAGATTAGTCCCCTAACTTATTTCACCTTAAGACTAACCATTCTAACTCTCACACCTAATCTAACCTAACTCAACCTAACCTTATCCCAGTTAGAGTTAGGGTGGTTAATCTTCAGGTGATCCGTATCGTTTCCTTTCATTAAGAACCATTACTAGGCTATGTCCACCGTCTGTGTGATATATTCAGTTCTTGTCCTTGATGTAAAGTTATTGTGGAATTGACCCTTATCTGGTTGCCACGGGAATAACAACAATAGGATGAAGGAGGAGGAAGAGGAGCCAAGAAGATAGAGAAGAAAACACGTGTAAAAAGATAGAGTAGACGGAGGAGAAGGGAGAGAGAAAAAAACGAAGAGTAAAATAAGGAGGAAATAATTAAGAATAATGATTATAAGAAAGAGCACAATATGATTAGAAGAATGAGGAATAATAGTAAGACGAAGAATAAGTAGGGAAAGAATAATAGAGGATAATAATGACAATAGAAAGAATAAAAGGCATGAGAAGTAGAGAAGAATAAGAATAAGGTGGAGAGGAAGAATAAGGAAAATAACATTAAACCAATTAGAAAAAGGAAAGGAGAAAAGGAGAGGAATAGAAAGAGAGGAAACAATAACACTAATAATAAGTAGAAAGAAAGGAGGAGGAGGAGAGTGAAAACAGCGAGGGTGAAGGTTGTTTTTGTGGTGGACAGGTGGAGCTAGGTGGAGGAAGTTCAGTCGAGTTACCTCAACCATGAACCATCACTCGCACAGTCGCCACCAAAGAGCCAGGACGTGCCTGCCTTGTTGCTATGGCGGTCCCGAACTCCATCTGTCTCTTGGCGTGGGTGCTGGCCCTCACTTCCACCTTAGGATATGGGTAAGTACTTCATATCATACTATTCTTGAGTAATTTTTATATAAGGTTGCAATTTATGTTAGTATCCATCGCTTCGTTCGGTGGTCCGTAAAGCATTGCAAGTTCGATATTTTCGTCATTATTGAGTTGTTATTTCTAATTAATAACTGATGAAGACATTGAAGGATCGAAATGGTTTAGTATGTAGGTCTTCTATAATTGACATAGGGTCTTACAGATCGATAAAAAAAAATCTTCTAGGGGAAGGGGGTGAAACGACACTTTCTAAATTATGAGTTTCTTTTTTGTGTGTGTGTGTTCTGGTCCTCAAAGTAGTAATGATCTATATTGTTTTTCTTTTCATATCGAATTGTAGTTATATGTAGTTTCATTATTAAAGCGAATAATAATGAAGCTGGCTGTTGACTGGTGAGGGCGGATAACTAGACTATTTTATCTACAACAACGCCGATGTTTTGACTGCAATCATACAACGAACACAAAGGTGCGAAGGCGAGAAGAGTATGACTGTCACCACCATAAAACAGGAATTATATTTAAAAGTTTAAGCGAATAAACTGCTCACTATTACCATCGCAATAATTAATGGACGCCACTTTTTTTTTTTACTTTTTTTGTTGCGAGGCTTCCTGTTGCGTGCTGGATTACATGATGGGTGGAGGTACATCACAGGAGCCAGGAAACCCTGATGGAACCTTCGAGTATAATATTCTTCTCTAGATACTGTATATATCAGACATTGTTGCGCTTAGCGTACTTAATATTGGAAGAACAAATACTTATAATGTATACAACCTTAACAGCATCAACCTAGAGAAGTCGACTTGTGAAAGAGACCTAGGGGTACTTGTAAGCCCGGACCTACGGCCTAGAAAACATTACGTTAATGTGCGAAATAAGGCAGAGTATTGGGTTTTATATCTAGAAGTGTAAGTAACAAGAGTGCAGAGGTCTTATTGCAACTATATCTTGCGCTAGTCAGGCCGCACCTCGATTATGCGGTTCAGTTCTGGTGCCCCTATTATAGAATGGATATAAATTCACTACAGTCGGTGCAGCGAAGAATGACACAAATGATTCCGGGACTTGGAAACCTTCCATATCAGGATAGGTTAAAGAAAATTAACTTGCATTCCCTAGAAAGACGAAGAGTGCGGGGAGATATGATAGAAGTATTTAAGTGGGTGAAAGGAATCAATAAAGGGGATATAGATAAAGTTCTTATAATATCCGAGCAGGATAGGACTCGGAGCAACGGATTCAAGTTGGATAAGTTTAGGTTTAGGAGGGAGATAGGAAGGAACTGGTTCACAAATAGGGTGGTGGACGAGTGGAACAAGCTTAGCAACTTTGTAGTAAGTGCGGGAACGCTGGAAAGTTTCAAAAGGAGGCTAGATAGATTCATGGATGATAGTGAGTGGTTGTAACTCTCGACAGGAGCTGCCATGCACAGGCCAACCAGCCTATTGTAGACTCCTTATTTTCTTATGTTCTTATGTTCAATGTTGAGTAAGGAACCGCGTGACCATGTATCCCAGCTTTTATGATCTTAAAAAAAATAAGGCATAATTTAGCTTGAACGCTCCTCATTTCCTCCTAATTTACTAGGCTCTCTCTCTCTCTCTCTCTCTCTCTCTCTCTCTCTCTCTCTCTCTCTCTCTCACAGCGACAAAGTTATCAACAAGTCATATTCTTCTCACCGCAAGTCTCCCTACTGTATGTCCCTAAGGCGAGACAAGGGCAATTAGGTAATTTGGTGTTACGTCTTACGATCGGCTGCAACGAGACAGCGTGTTGCTGTATGTACTTATACGGTCAGAATAGGTCTTATATTTACAGTACATCACTCCTCCCATCTCCTTTGTTATTCACACTTCTTTCTTGTGTATTTTAAATGGAGTTAAATGCCATGCAATATCAGAGTACCGCGCAGAAGTTGATGTAGCCTACAGGTATAGTTTGCCAGTATGTCTCTTGATTTTACTAAGAACCAGATTATTTATATGTTGAGTATTTTTATCTAAATGTGCTTATATCAAGAGACTTCTTTAACGAGAGCTACAGCCTTCAGAAGCCTTGCAATCATGGCGGTATTATTTACTCTTACATAATTCATAAATGACTTCTGTAAGATCAACCTTGTTATATTCATTATCATCAGCCATTTCATGTCTTCTAATCCTGTTCCGTCTTCGTCCTACTTAGTATTCTACGAGAATACACATCTCCGGTCGATGACTCCGTCCTAATTTAACAACCTTCATTTATCTTGGAACAAAAAACAACTTAGGCCCGCGCCCCCTATCTTTCTCTCTCTCTCTCGTCTGTCTCTGAAGGACACCAAGATTACAAACTAGTTTTTTCTTATACCGTTTTCCGAGCCTTACGTCATGATCATAACTACAAGGGTGAACAGTAAAGACAATGACAGGATACCTAGGGCCTTATTTGGGAGGGTGTTGGGCGTAGGATTTGTACTGCCGAGGGGTGATTCAGCACCACTCAACCTTCACCATGTTGCACGAAAATTACAACAGACTGCATACATTTTACGTGTTATGCACATATATGAATAACTTTAGTCATTTGATGAATATTTAAGTGTTAATTCCTCAATAAGGAGTTCTTTTCGTGTGGATTTTGATTTTTTGCAGGTTAGGTATCTGTTAGGCAGTGGTAATTGTAGAATGCAAGTGGATAGCCTAAACAGGTGGACATTGTTAAATATCGTAAATTGTGATGGTAGATGTGGAATGGAAATGAAAAAAAAAACAAAGAATAAGCCAAACAAAAAATTTCTACTCTTAGAAACACCATAAAAATCTGTTTGAAAAGCGACTGTAGTCTTAAAAAAAGAGGTTCTGCTTTGGTACATGTGGTCAGGAGCGTGGATACTCCTGAAGGAAGTAAGAGGCCTTTGAAATGTGATGCTTCAGGAGAATGTTATAGGCAAGTCATGCAAATAGAAAAACAAATGAAGTACTAAGACTAGTTAGAGCAACGAGATACACAGGAAATGTTTAAATTACGGAAAATGGGATAAGTTGATCATACAAGGTGATACTGGTTGAGGCATTAAATAGCTAAAATTGAGGACTTGAAACTGGGGTGTATGAATGAAATCAAAAGCTGGGTCTTCCTGGATCTATATAATATGTGGGAGGATTAGGATCGACAACCCGGAAACGTGTACAGTAAAGAGCTATGGTGATCGGCCCTCAGATCCAAGGTTAGCAATTAGGATGATGTTATTGTACAGAGTGATAAATATTATTTTTTAAGTGTGAGGCAAGAGCGAGAGAAGGCTTTAATATTCGTGTCAGACGCTTACTAAGGTTAGACCAGTATAATGATGTACCCAGTAAACTCCTGGTCCGTGGCAGCATCATTATCTCACTGGGAAAAATGCCGGGTGCGGACATGAACGTTGGCATGAAGGACAGGCAGGTGGAGGATTTTTATAACAAGGACGCCAAGTTTTTAACAGATTCATCCAACACCATGTACAGCGACCATGAATGACTAACCGACTACCTGATGGCGTATTTAAATCTTTTTGTCAACCCTCGTAACTATGTCGTACTGGCGCAGGCTGACAAAATTTTGGTTGCCTTTGTATTTTTCTGGACAAAATCAGTTTTTGATCACTAAGCATCTGCATAAATTTGGTTTGTTTAGTTGGTTAAAACAAATTAATTTTATTGAGATTTAAGATTACGTGTTCTCAGGTGAGCTGCTGTAAGGTTGATTACCTTTTATTATATCAATGAAGTTTTAAATAATTGCCTTTGGTTTTAAATTAGTTTATGGGGATATAATGACAAAGTAATCCACCATCATTCGAGCTACATTATGTTTGAGTTCCTTTCTTGGAAATTCCCTGACGATTCCGGCGCTTCCTGTCTTATCATCAGTTCGTCATAGACAGGAAGTCCGTGAATGACACACCTATATAAGTTGTAGTGGCCTTCCTGCCCACTCCGGAGTAATTACTTGTTCTTATCTCCCTAGTGTTAATGCTATTGTCCTTGGAGTCTCACGTTTGATGATTGTTGTCTAGTTACGACTTAGAGTGTGTAGCTCAGCAGGGTAGAAGGTGAATAACATTGAGTGGTTGTGGTGTTGATCAGTCCTCACATGATGGCAAACTGGCAAGTTCTTCCGGTGTATTATAATATTCCTTTTTGCTTCAGTGGTCTCAGGGACGAGGCTAATGCTGAGATTTTTTTCCAGGTCTGTTATTACGTCTAGTTTATCTTTTTTATATTCATCCTGTGTTGGTGAGTCATAGTAAAGGAATTCTTAAGAGCTAGAGTCACTTTTTGTAATATATTTATTCACCATGTGATCCCTCATATCTCGTAGTGTGACGTGTAAATGTTGTATGGTTTTTAACTAAATACAACCTTCAGGTTTCTGGTAATGCTGCGGGCAATTCAGAGTCAGAGTTACTCAGCATTAATAGAGCAGGTGAGTGTAGGGTGAGGTCATTAATGTTGACGGTATAATGTTATTACTGCACTTTATCAACTAAGGTCTTTAAGTGCACAAATTCCTATGAAAATGTAATGTATGTCACGTAATGTACACTAGGCAAGGGAAGGTCTTAAGACTACCAATAACCCGTCAACAAAATAGAGAAGGCCAGGAAACCTAAGGGCCAGACCACACTGACACAACCGTGTTGCTAGGAGCACCACTAACATTGTCCTGACCTTGGCCAAACCTATCCAGACCTTCACCTTGTAGAACAGGTTTATGTTATTTATAACTATAGGGGCCCCTCCGTCTTGAAACATACCATGACGTTACATACCAGGTTGATAGCCAGTACGAGACTTAACTCTGATACAAGCTACCAGTTTTCTATTGTCTGATTTCTTTACTTAAACTTCTTGTGTACGTTGTGCTCTCTGTTGAATATAATCATCTGACGTTACCAAATAAAATATTAAAAGTAGCGTCGCAGTAGAGAAGGAGTTAACCTCTCAGAGGATGCGAAAAAAAAAATAGACAGCAATATTTTTCTCCCAACAGTATACTCGTTGTACTTGCTGATGCTGTGCGTTATTGGTGTAAGGAGAGCACTTAGGTAGCACTATAAGATGATCAGATTCTATTTACTTAATTATTTAATAGTGAAATATAATTAAAAAAGGGCATTGAATGACAGCCTTTTACTTAACCTTTACCGCTGAGCCATATGGACATTTATTAAATACAGAGATATGTACCGATAGTTAAAACTGGTTTCTATGGTAACCAAACTCAGTCTGATTTATCATTTATAGAAACTTTATTATATCTAGAGCTAGAATTACATGTTCTATCAGTATGTCCATAAATTATTCTAGCAATAAATAATATCACTATGCCTTGCTATCCACCCCTTCATGGACGTCCGTCCTCCACTGCTAGCGTGTTCCTCACCCCATTATTCCTTCTTGATCTTCCTGTGTATATAAAACGGTTAAAATCACACGGTATCCTCATTCTTACAGAGACTATTTGATCACAACGCCTCGGATGTGGCCCTTGGAAGCACCAGCACAGGTGTGTGTCTTGGTGAGTGACCCAAATGCTCCTGAAGGCAGCCTTACCTTCAGGATGTCGGCCGACATCTATGAATTCAACGAGAGGAAAGAGAACGTGACCATCATCCCCAGCACCGTCCTCCAAGTTCCTGCAGGTAAATTACTTCATCTAATCTGATTTCAGCCACATTTTAGTGACACTGAAAGGAAATTTCACATCGTATCTGAAGCTGCAGATGTCGAGGTTTTGTACTTCGCCTTGGTAATCTAATGAAGACAGTAGCTGCAATATCTCGATTAAAAAACAAATAAAAAAACACCGTCCATATTTTTCGTATTTAAGCAGTTTCTCAATTTTATACAAGTCGACAGCGGCGTGTACACAACAGCTAGCAGGGTTTAAGTACGTGAAATAACTAAAAAAAGCTATAATCTTCTTATTACCATACAAGAAGAGATCATCACAGAGACTGACTTTGACGTTTTCTTATTTTGTGTGAAGGAAAGTCAGAGGATTGTTATGAAGTACCAGTACCCAAGACGAAGAACCACTACGGTGATCTACACGTCATTGGCACTGTGGGAGGCGCCAAGATCAACCGCACTCTGAGTATGTCCCTAAAATCAAGTAATCAGATCACCTTCGTCCAATCCGACAAATACCTGTACAAACCTGGGCAGAATGTTAAGTTCAGGATCCTCACTGTGGTTCGGGCAGAGCTCAACGTCTCCACTGAGCAGGTGAGAGAGTGAACCAGTCAACAGGTAGGAATATAGCAGCAAGAACTCTTTTTTTTTTATGTGTGAAATTGTGAAAAATATGAAGTAAAGTTGAAAGAGGAATGGAAGAATTATCATGAGGTATATTAATAGCTAAATGTTGAATATTATAGAAAAAAAGAGAGCCACGCACAGTGAAATAATGTTAAAGGAATATAACTCACAAGAGACGTATCAAATATTACAACCAATATTTTCTTTCCGCCCACAAACTCCAGGTTCCTGTGGTGGATTTCTTAAGTAACACAATTCACAGTACCTACAGTAAATACAGATCAAACACTATTGGCATTAATTTTTCCCGTCTCCTTTTGGCAGTACCCGGAGATCTGGGTCACAACGCCCTCCAAAACTCGTATCGCTCAGTGGAAGAACGTGGACAACACCGCCGGTCTGGTCCACCTCGACTTTGACCTGGCCGACGAACCCGAGAAGGTGAGGTGATACTTGAGAGGTGTGGGGGAGGGAGGATGGGAGAAGGTAGGACACTTAATATGTGGGGGAGAGGGGAGGGGAAGGGAGACGGTATGACTAAAGGTGGGGGGGGGGAAGGTGAGACGTACAGGTATTCACAATAATTCAATATGTTTCATCCTCATTTTTAACTCCTCAGGGACACTACCTCATCCACGTGAAGGCTCCGGGCGACGATATTTACACTAGACAGTTTAAGGTCGATGAGTTTGTGTTGCCACGCTTTGAGGTGAAGCTTAAAACTCCCAGTTACATCCTGCCGACAGATGAGAAGTTCACCCTCACCGTTTGTGCCAAGTGAGCCTCTTTATACAGTTTGTCTGCCTGGCGTACTAGTGGTGCTGGTGCAAGTCCAGTGAAATCTGGGTACAATGATTTGGTTCCCGTTTTACATGTTCGTTGAGTTACCATGTTCAGGAGCAGCGAAGGTGTATGAGAAATTTATTGAATATATATCTCTCTCTCTCTCTCTCTCTCTCTCTCTAAGGAAAAGGGACGAAAGATGAATTTCCATTGATTTAAGAAGAGCTGCGTAAATCATAGTAAAAAGAGTATTAGAGATTAAACATTATCATAGCCCTTTGCTGTTAAATTTTTAAGGTGTTACTGTAATTATGGTGTGTGTGTGTGTGTGTTGATATACTAATAAGTAATATTTCTCTCTTATCCACGCTTCACAGCTACACCTTCGGGCAGCCAGTCAGGGGCAACTTGTCACTGGTTGTCAGCAACGGGGAGAGAAAAAAGTGCAGAGTTGTGGTCACCAAAAATGTTACTGTGAGTACTCCAGGAACACGACCAACTGACCAAACACTCACACACCTACAACACGGCAACTTTAAAGTGGTATACAGTATTAAGAAAACACGACCAGTGCTTGTTGAAGTGTGATAATAAATTGATCAACTGCTTTACATATTGGCTACCTCTATCACACACACACACACTCTCTCTCTTTCTCCATGGCTTATTTTACACAATTTCACGTATTAATAGGCTCTATTTTATGAGTCTGATCAGTGTTGACAACATTATAAAGTATTTATGCAGTATACTGATAATGCAGAACGTATCAGGAAAACATGCAGCTCACTGTGTGTAGATATGTGTAGACTCAGTGCTTGTGGTTACAGTATAGACAATTACCTCTTCTACTTTTTATTTTGTATTTTAATTTTTTTTTGCAGATCTCTGGCTGTGAGGATGTGGAGTTAACGACAGCACAGATGCGAGTCATTGACTGTAACGTGTACAATCTTCATGCCGTTGCTACTGTGAGGGAAGAAGGTACTGACGTCGAAGCGAAACATTTGCGCCGATTAGACATCACTCGCCGATTTGTCACCTTCAAAACATTGTACGAGGACAGATACATGAAGCCTAACCTCCCCTCTACCATGAAGGTGAGTGGATGATAATGGGAGAATATGATACACGTTGTAGGTTATGTAACTGTTTATTTTGTATAGGTAAAATATGATCGAACTAGGGTGTGTAGTATGTTGACGGGTGAAAGAGGAGACAGTATAATTTAGTTTGAGAGATTATCATACATTGAAATCTTGAAAATATCACATATGGAGTAACATATACAGTAGCGTGATAATGTTAGAATTTATTGTGGGAAATTTGAACGATAAAGGCGTGATAATGTTAGAATTTATTGTGGGAAAATTTGAACGATAAAGAGTCGCAAAAATTTCATAATCATTGACAGTTTGCAACACTTCACTAAACATATTTCCTATTCACATTGTCAGCGACGAGCCATCACACCTTTTATGACTCACAGGGGCACAGTAATCTCAGGCGTCATTATTATTCACAATAAGTTTACTACAATACTAGATAATACTCTTGAATAACAAAAAATGCACATACCAACTTAGCGATCCAGTGATGACCGACTGCCAGGCAACTTGGCGGTGTAAATAAACTGTAACCTCGTGCGAGACCTTCATATATTTGCTTTGTACCGCTGAAAGCCAAACGTTCCAGTTTTTCCTAATACAGTTTACGTTTTAAGATCTAATCTCCGTCCTTGCAGGTGAGAGCAGAACTGCCAGATGGTTCTCCCGCTGCTGGTGTTCTCATGGAAGTGTGCGCTGGAGGCGCGTGTACCAACATAACCACGGCTACTGATGGCGTCTTCACAACTGTCTTGCCGTCTTATGACACCAATAGAATCTTTGTAAGTGTCACCTCCAAACCTGGTGTGATGCTCTGAGGGTTTCTTTAGTTGATCTGAGTGTTTGTTTAATGATCAGAGCGTCAGTTTTAATGTTGCTAAGTGTCCGTTTGATGATCCGAGTGTCCGTTTGATGATCTGAGTGTTCGTTTGATGATGCTGAGTGTTCGTTTAACGATCTGAGTGTTCGTTTAATGATTTGAGAGCCTGTTTACTACAATATTCTTAGGCTCTTACTTTCTTATTCATAACCACAGATGAAGACTCTCAATTGTCGGGCTCCCATTCATGAGTCTGAGTTCAGCAAGTACCTGGAGCATTACTACTCCCCCTCCAACTCATCCCTCCTGATCAATGCTCCGGAGGGTAAGCTGAAGTGTGTACCTGGACAAGCCCAAGAGCACGTTCTGCCTGTGTTCTTCTCTGCCAATAAACAGAACTCCGCAATCTTCACAGTCCAGGTAAATTATCTATGTAAATTTCTCTACTTTTTTTCTCTATTTCTCTCTTTAGTTTTTTCTCGTTCTCTTCTACTCTCTTTATCTCTATTTTCTCTTTTTCTACTTTCTCTTTTCGTATGTGCGTATTTGTGTATGGCCTCATTCCATCATATATAAGAGAATAAAAGTCTTTCTATATAAATCCCACTATCTCCCAGTGAGGTAAGGGTTAAAGACTGCATCATAAGGATTTTAATTATCTTTCAACGACTGGCTCTGTAGCGGATGTAGAATGGTGAGTGTTTGTTGTTCCTCAGGTGGTGGCACGAGGGAAGATCCAGTACCGGAACTCCCAGGAGCTTCAGCTGACTGGAGGAGACCTGCCCATCAGTGTGGAGCACCTGGTGGAGCCTCTGCCTCCTCCTATTGAGGGCACCGTCAGGGGAGTCGTCAACATCAATGTTAACCTTCCCCCGACAGCTTCTTCCAAGGCCAAGGTTTGTGAACAGTCAGGAGAGTTTCATATGCTGTATTTAATTTTGTATTGTGTGTGGGAGGGGGGGGGGACTTAAAATCAGTCGGTCAAGGTGCCATTTTTATGCCACTACATAAGTTTTCGGGCAGTGTGTACAATTAAAGACAAAAGTCGTGTTGTGAAATTTGGTGAAAACATATGCTGAAGGGCTAAACTTTTGGTGGGGCTCTCATAATGTTTCACGAGTTATATTTAACCTTCGGACAAAACCGCGACACGACTTTTGTCTTTGTACATCTCGACAAACGATTTTTTTTATTTACTTTATTCATTTTTTATTGCATCCAATTAATAACGGAGGGATAATATGGTGATACTTTTGGCAACAACAAAATAGGTTTAGGTCAGTAACTAGGATGGAGGGGACGGATCTTAGTGAAACTTGTTATACAGCTTTATAATACATTGATAACAGGGACGTTAGTGTTTACCATGTTTGATAAAGAGTCTCGGGTGTTGGTGTGGTACACCTGGGAGAGTCAGGTGTAGTAAGACAACGTGTTGAGGGTGTTGGTGTGGTACACCTGGGAGAGTCAGGTGTAGTAAGACAACGTGTTGCAGGTGTTGGTGTGGTACACCTGGGAGAGTCAGGTGGAGTAAGACAACGTGTTGCAGGTGTTGGTGTGGTACACCTGGGAGAGGTCAGGTTGTACACCTGGGAGAGTCAGGTGTAGTAAGACAACGTGTTGCAGGTGTTGGTGTGGTACACCTGGGAGAGTCAGGTGGAGCAAGACAACGTGTTGCAGGTGGTGGTGTGGTACACCTGGGAGAGTCAGGTGTGGTAAGACAATGTGTTGCAGGTGTTGGTGTGGTACACCTGGGAGAGTCAGGTGTAGTAAGACAATGTGTTGCAGGTGTTGGTGTGGTACACTCGTGAGGACGGGGAGGTGGTGGCAGACACCAGAGAGCTGGAGGTGGAGAAGTGTCTTGGTAGCAGCGCCAGTCTCACCTGGTCAGAGTCTCAGGCACAACCTGGACAACAGACCACTTTGACTCTCTCGTCAGAACCAAACTCCGTGTGTAGCCTCGGTATGTATCACTCTCTCCACACTATATGCGATATACATGAAGAATTATCACTGTACAAGAGTGAATTCATCTTATCCACACTATATATATATATATATATATATATATATATATATATATATATATATATATATATATATATATATATATATATATATATATATATATATATATATATATTGGCATTAGGCTCTAAAAAGTCCCCTGTTTCGACTAATGGTGAATCATCCAATAATAATAATAAAAAAAAAAACAGGTGTGGTGGACAGAAGTTCCGAGTTACTGGCCAAAGATGTTGATCCTATCTCGCTGGAGAAACTTTTTGACTTCGTGGATAACTTCGACATCAACCGCTGGATAAACTCCCAGATCTACACACCCGATTACTGCGAGAAGAAGAAACTGAGAGAGAAAGAGAAAGACAGAGCATCACTATCAGGTTAGTTGGAATCTTGAGTCAGGTGCAGGGAGTAAACCACCTACTCTTATACTCTACCATCAAGTCACGAAAACACCAATAGATTCATAAAAACAAAAACATTCACAAAAATACCATCAGACTTTGTTTCTTGAGGACCAGGTTCAGGCTGGCCATTCTTTGTCTCTCTGGCACATCAGGAGCAATTGTTTATCTTCATGGCAATTATCTTTTTTTTCAGATTTAAATCCAATTATTTTCCCAGAAGACAGGCCAAGCGTCAGCTACTACTCCAACTACGTAGATGCTCTCCAGATGTTTGAAGTGAGTTTCTTCCCGATTCGAAATTTTAAGCGTATCTGTGGGGGTTTTTATGTGTATTTCTGTGGCTCAACAACTAAGATCTTTAAGCACGTAGGCTAAGTCAGTTCATTCACTAGACAACAACTTTAAAATTCTTTTATTCGAACTGACGGAAATCAGGTTAGATTTGTGTGAGGCATAAACGCTGAATGATCTTGTTTCTTTTATTTACTGGATTGTCTTCATGAATTCTTTTATTTTATCGAGTCATATTACATATATATTATACACAGACAGTGTTTCATAGTCGTAAACATTTCACAGTATCAATCGCTACCTTTATTAATTATTCATATTTATTTTCAGGACTCCGGTTTGTACGTGTTAACTGACCAGACAGTGGAGACAAGACCCTGTGAGGAAGGTAAAGAGGATGTTGTACAGTAGACGACTCCATGAACTTTTTGTCTGTAACGTGCTTATAATCATCACTAGAATGTGCATTTAACATCAGTGCTCTTTGAGGTGTGTGTGTGTGGGGGAATGCCGGTGGCGTGAAAAAAGTCTTCCCTCTAACCCAGAATAAGTCAATGGTTTTTAACTTTCAGATGAAGCCCTATTCTTCGAGTATGATGGGCCACCAGAGGCACTTGGGATTCCCCAGTTGGCTGCCGACTTTGACACCGAGGACAGAATCGTTGGTGGTGCTGGCGGCGGTAACTCGTCTCCTTCGCCGTCTCCGCCACCTCCAGAGGACGCCCCAAGGACTGACTTCCCCGAGACTTGGATCTGGGACCTTGTCGTGCTGCCGTAAGTCGTATGCTTATGGCATTAAGTAAATACACAAGATAAGATAAATTTACGACTATATGACACAAAATTAAGATAAACACAAGTCAAAATAAATAAACATTAAAACTAGATAACAAGATTAACAAGAGGGACTTTTCGTTCATTTAAGGGTTACTTTCATTTATGTATGTGATTTATATTGAACAACCAAACCGAAAGTTAACCTCTAACCAGATTCAGGTAATACATAGACCTCGTCAAGGCATTTTTAGTATATATTTAAATATCCATTCACATCATTATTAAATTTATTGTTCTCTGCCATTAAGTGACCGTAAATTACAGTATGGTCCCTGAGTTTACATCAGTGCAAAAGTATGTATGTTGTACACAGATCGTCTGGGGTGAACAGCCAGAACCTGACACTGCCTGACACCATCACACAGTGGGTGGGCAAGGCCGTGTGTGCCCACCCAGAGAAGGGCGTGGCACTGTCTGAGAGGGAGTCCATCACTACCTTCACCCCCTTCTTCGTCGACCTCACCCTTCCCCCCACTGTCAAGCGTGGCGAGATACTCCCCGTCAAGATGTCCATCTTCAACTACCTAGACCGACCAATACCTGTAAGTGTTCAGTAATTACTAACCAGACCAGCCAGTACCTGTAAGTGTTCAGTAATTACTAACAGATCAGACCAGCCAGTACCTGTAAGTGTTCAGTATTACTAACCAGACCAGCCAGTACCTGTAAGTGTTCAGTAATTACTAACCAGACCAGTCAGTACCTGCCAGCCTTCACTAGCCTAATATACGTGTCAGTCTTCTTTACCCTTGCTGATCAAACTACAGAAAATGAGTTCCTGAAGTCCTTATAAATTTTATAGCATTACGACATCACGATCTTGTCTCTTCTTTAAAAATAAGACGATTCAGTTAATTTTGAAAGTGTTTTATAAATCTTATCAGTGCAAAATATAAACAGCTTAAGTTCACAGACACCATCAGTTAATCCCGCACATGCTTCACACTTCTCTCGTTATATCTTAATTACGTATCATTTATTACATCTGCCTCTAATTTCCGGCTTTAGGTGAGTGTGAGTGTTGGGGAGAGTGCAGAATACGAGATCATACAGGAGCCAGGAGCACCAGGCGAGCTTGGACGGCGTAGCTCATGTCTACCAGCACAAGACAAGGTTGTCCACACAGTCAAGATCAAGCCACTGGTGATCGGAGAAGTCAACATTACTGTGTCGGCGTTCGTGGACTACCAGTACTCTGAGCCTTGTGGGTCAGGCGACACCTCCATCGAGAAAAGGTAGTTATTATTTTCATTACTTACATGCATATATATACACAAGTGCCATATGTGCAAATAAACATAAAATTTACAAGATAAAATTCAACCTGTAGTAAATAATAAAAACTAAAAAAAAATATATATATACGTACGACAACTTGACCACAAAATGTCAATCACCTAAAATGTGCCAAACTGAAGACACACGAAATCGAGTCTTCTTAATTTACAACTGTCCCACGTGTCGAATTTCTTTGTCCTTATTATCGTTATCTCTCTATTATTAGTTTTATTCGTATATTGTATCACTGCGGGTTGGCCAAGTTAGTCAGACCACCAGCGTGTTTCAAGTGTAAATCTGATGTAGTGATGAGATGTTGTTCTTTGCAGAGACTCTTTGATCAAGCCCATCAAGGTTGAGGCTGAGGGATTCCTGAGAGAGAAGACCTGGACCAAGTACATCTGTTCAAAGGGTGAGTCATTGTTAACATCATTACGATAACCAAGTCTGGCTGTTATCCTGGCATATTTTCTTTAAGATAGATTAATCATAGTGAAATAACCTTTACAAATGTTATAATGTCCCGCTTTTCCGAACTTCACACTTAAAAGATACTGTCGTTGAAACTGGTTGGAAAAGAGTGAGTGTGTGTGTGTGTGTGTGTGTGTAGGGGGGAAATATGGATGCATTGTAGTATGCCGTTTGGTTTGTAAATGAATGATCACGCGTCTCCTTTCCTCCTGCCAGATTTCGAGACGGGTGAAGACTCACTGGAGGCGTGGGAGCTGAAGACACCCTTGACCATTGTGGAGGGGTCAGACCGAGCCTGGGTCACTGCCGTGGGTGACCTCCTCGCTCTCTCACTCGAGGTATGCTTGGAGAGTCGTGGGTATATTCTAGCCGTCTGTATCCTGAGATTAATACAGCTTTTGCTTGAAACTGATGGTAAGAGAGTAGTGTCTTTTCACATTTTTCTCTACATGAAAACTACAATCAACAGACGTGATTCCTACCCTTCAGTCACAGTCGACGTGGCTCTTGGTACATTTTTATGGCCTTTGATGTTTGTGTATTAGTGTTTATCTTATATGTCAGCCCGATTCCTGCAAAAGATAGGAGAAAAGTTTCCCAGGAAGTCGTATCAATTCTAAATCCCCAAAGGTCAGTAACTTTGCCTTTGGTAAGATAACAAGGCAGGTGGGGAGTGACTTAATAATTTGCTTCACTCCTCAGCCCAAGGGTCGTCAGTGTTCTATAACCATTTTTTTTTTGTGATAGACTTCATTCATATTTTGCTTTCAGAACCTGGGACACCTGATCCGTATGCCGTATGGGTGTGGAGAGCAGAACATGGTTAACTTCGTCCCCAACATCTATATCTTGCAGTATCTCAAGGCCTCCAATCAGACTACCACGGAAAGCACACAGAAGCTGCTCAACTTTATGAAAACAGGTGATGTCCATGTTAATACGTGTATGGTATGTATGTATGTCCTTTCCTCCGTGTTTATGGAAATTTAAGAAGTTTCCAATCGATTTATTCCTCTCACCAGCCAAACACCCCATCATCTCCTCACCAGTGAATCTGTGTTTGTAGATATATCGACATATATCTTATTGACCACATCTTTCATCATAAAAATACAAAATATATTGATACAAAACTAACATTCACTAATAAATTACCTAAACAACATAAGATTAAGTAAAATATGGTTCACAAAAATTACTCAGAAATGCGGTAAAATTTACAGTGGGGATGGATGAAACTCCTATGAACAATTTAAGAAAGTTGTGGATAATCGTGTATATATCATGGGGTAAATTGCCTGAATATGAGTCCTCTAGAAGTGCTGAATTGGTAGGTAAATCAAGTATTTTGTGTTAGAGAGCAGTCTTAAATTCTGTGCCTCTCTGGTCGAGCTCATAAACACTTCTCGAGTGGGAGGTGACCAGTGTCCAGTCTCTACCGCCAATGAATGACCTGACATTCTGAAGTGGGTGAAGGAGGATCTGTGGAATTCATTAATAGACCAGAATTAGCTTTAAACCTGTGTAATACATCCAGACTCTTACTACCTGTCTCCACTTAAGGGATATCCTTTGTCTCTGTCCAGACTGAGACCCTTGCCACAGTTATTTCTTCTCCTGTGACCTTTTTATATAAACAAAACAATATATTGTCCTCGTGAGAAACGTGTGCTGACCTCTTACGAACAGTGTGGGTCTTTCTACAGATTGTCTCTCCTCACACAAAAATTCTGAATCTCTTACCGATAACGTGACTAAAGCTTCTCCTGTTGTCTCACATACTTAAATGTTGTTTGTTGTGTAGCACTAAGCTTCTCTCTCTAGACTTCCTTCCAGATTCATTTTATGGGTCTCATTCTTCCTCCCCAAGTACCTATAATCATTGTTATCTTACACACTGAACACTTAATTATGAATGCTGAACAACCCTTGTGGTTTTTGCTTGGTATTCCTTTCTTTTTACAAAATAATACCTCAGTTTTACAGCCAAACATTATACATATAAAGTTGTGGGGACACGACAAAAATGGGAGCCCCTGAATACGAGATTATATTCCTCTACACTCGTGTGTTACTGTAAGGTCCTCTCATCAGGTTACCAACGAGAGCTCCTATACCGACGTGACAACGGCTCCTACAGCGCCTTCGGGAACGCTGACGATTCTGGCTCTACCTGGCTGACGGCCTTTGTGCTCAAGTCCTTCGGTCAAGCTCAAGATTTTATCCTGGTGAGTAGATTACTAAAAGGTGCCCTAACAATCTTGCTTCACTCCCACACCAGGATGCACAGGTTCTCACTTATGTCCAAGGTAGAAATGTATTAGAGTAGAGTGTATTGTAGAATGACACCAGAGATATTATTAAGAAATGGGCCTTAACTGGCTATGACCGGCTGTAAAGTTAAACTAGTAAACTGACAAGTAATTGGATGAGTTTTGTGATCATTATCGGTTTTCTCCCGCTGGTGAACTTGCCGAACTCAATGGTCAAAACGAGTAACAAAATTGACAACAGTATTATGGAGGAGCAGTAGGGGGGGTAGCTAGAAGGTGTTGTATGTATTAAGCAGTTAGTTCTCATTAGTGATAAGAGCAGTAAGTATCTCGCAGCCTTGTTTGTGTTGGTAACCTCGTGTTGATTCCAGTAATTCATTATTGGGAGACAATAAATTATATTCCTGTGATGTCGTTTGTATATTTAACACACAGACGTTCATTAGTAACAAGATACAGTAGTGAATTGAAGGCAGTGACGTTAAACATGACAAACCATCTCATGATCTCTGACTTCACGTGCCACCTCTCTATACGGATTAAATTGGATTATCCTTAAACTTCTTTGATACTCACAATGTGTCAGAAACTTGGTGTCTATATTAACGAAAAAAAAATTATATTTCATTGCCAATTGTCTTTACAGATTGACAAGGAGGGACTGAACCAGACAAGTTTATGGCTAAAATCACAACAGATGGCTGATGGTTGTTACACATCTGTTGGCAAAGTCTTTAACAAGGCCATGAAGGTAAGGTTATGTAATACGTTTCAGGGAGAATTTAGATCAGTGATAAATTCATTATATTAAAGTTTTCTTAATTATATACTTAACTCTATAGGGAGGATCATGTAGATGAACTTAATACAAATCATAAGTGAAAAGCAACAGTAATAACCAAACCTTTACTAACCTAATATAGCAAAGTTTTAAGTGAATTTGTGTTCATTTTACCATATATGCATTATATTTCATGGGATTATAGCTAGCAATATAAATACAACCTCTCGAACACACACACACACACACAGTAAATGATTCCACAACTTCACATTACAGGGTGGTATTGCTGGCAGTGACTCTCCTGTACCTCTGACGGCCTACGTGATGATCTCTCTGCTGGAGGCTGGTGACGAATCTTGTAGCCCCTTGGAATGTCCAGCTGCCAAGTGCATACAGGCCGACACCTCCCGGGACCCCTACACCTTGGCCCTGAAAGCATACGCCCTGGCTCTGGCTAAACTACCTGAAGCCGAGACTGTTTTCCAACAGCTGCTCGACCAAGCCATTGTGGCCAAGAACTCCACCCACTGGGAACTACCTCAGGGACCAGGTACGCTGTGTGAGACGTGAGTTGGACACTGGTAACACCCAACTTTCCAGTATCAAGTTATTAGTCAAAAGCTATTGGGAAGGTGTTCGTCTATCCATTTTTTTATTGTTAATTTTCAGTTTATCTTGTCGGTACACTGCGTTCGCTTTAGATCTTCTTGCCCTTGTTTAACTGTTAAATACGAGTTCTCTGAAGTCACTTTGACAAGGGCTGTGCAACTGTGTAAGTGATACCTACTGGCAGCAGAAGTGAGAATTTCAGTTTCTTCTCTTCGATATGAATACTTTATTATCTTTGTCAGGAAAAAGTAAAGCAGTAGCGGTGGAGACAGCTGGATATTCTGTCATGACTATGATGACTCTGGACCCTAAGAAATATGAACAACAGGCCAGGAAGGTTGTGAAGTGGATAACGGCACAGAGAAACGGACAGGGAGGATTCTACTCAACACAGGTAAGGTTGACCAATTAAAAGATTGAACCTGAAGCATTTTTAGTTGTACTAGATTCTATTCTAACTATATGCACTTTCAGATTTTTTTTAAATATAAATGCAAATTTTCAAAAACTAGTGCAGTCATTTCCATTGTTTTGTGAGCCTCTTTTCCCTTAAGACTACCCTCGTGAAGGTGTCAAAAACAAAAAATATGTTAGCCTGAAAATAGCAGTCACACCAACATGTTTGTTATTTTTGTCCAGGACACAGTGGTGGCCCTCCAGGCTCTGGCCATGTACGAGTCACAGTTGTACCAGGGCCCCTTGAGCGTGGTGGCAACAGTGACTGCTACTGGGCTCTCCCATTCCTTCACTGTCACAGACGACAACAAACTCCTGCAGCAGCTGGTAACACTGCCAACACTCCCCACCACCGTCTCTATCACTATGGAGGGCCAAGGATGTGCTGTTCTCCAGGTAAGATTAACACGAGTTGACTTTATTAGTGTATAGTACTTGAGACATTAAGATAATCTGCTCTAGGAGCTTTTTGTCATCTGTTTTTATCACTACTTATCAGTAATATAGATAACTAAAATGTTGGGGTTATCCTCGCTATCACCTGCAGGCTGTTCTTCGGTATAATATTCCTGAGCCTGAAGGAAGTGATGCCTTCGACCTGACTGTCAACACCAACACGGCTCCAGACAACAAGTGCGTCACCAAACGCATCACGGCCTGTGCTTCCTATCGCCTCCCTGATGGCAAGTCTAACATGGCTGTCATCGAGGTGGACCTCATCTCTGGTTACATCCCTGAGAAAGAAGACCTGAAGAAACTTGTGAATGACAACGTCAACATAAAGCGTTATGATGTGGATGGCGGCAAAATTTCCTTCTACATTGAAGAATTTACTGCCCAAGACACCTGTGTAAACTTCCGTGCGATACGAGTGGTTGACGTGGAGGATGTGAAGCCTGGCACAGTGCGTGTTTACGACTACTACCAGCCTGAGTTCGAGATATCCAAGGTAAGTTTACTGTGTTTGGTTCATGATACATGAACTCTTTATGCATTTTATGATCGCTATATTTCTTGAAGTATATAAGGTGAAAGTACTGTACTTGATTTGAACATAAGCAACTACCCCGGTAAATCATCTCTTAGACTTTGACTCGTAGTATATAGTACAGGTACATGTTTCTTCATAACGAAGTTCATTAGAATGTGACGGTGAGAACTGATTATGCCATTTGTTTAGGAAAAAAAAACAGGTTCTTATAATGCAATCTTAACTCTGGTAAAGGTATGCAATTAAATTTACATAACACAACCACACCACCTCTTCAACATTGCTCTTTTATTCGTCAAGAGGATATGAATGCAAATTGTGGGAACAGAATGCTGTGAAAACCAAGCAGTAATCCTCTGCGTAGTGTCAGTATTTATCGGCATAGTTACAGATAATGTTCTCTCTCTACAGAACTACACACTGCCATCTACAACTGAGTGCCGCTAGATAGTACAACCCTGGTGCCGGTGTCCCTGTGTTACTCCCTGGTCAGTGGATAATGCCGGGAGAACTGGCTCACCCTGGCGGCGTGATGATCAACTCAAGACTTCACCCTAAAGTCATCACTTTATATTTGTACTCTCAATGTTCCCCATTATCGTGACATCCACTGTATTACGTATTTCTCAGCTGCTTATGTTTACATCTATTACTCTTATAGTTCATTTGAAAACCCTTTACACTCTGCCATCCATAGTGAGTCGGCAGTGTGTTAACCTGAGCCTTTAAAGGAATTCGAGGAAATACTGAATAAATGTGACATATGTTAAGACGAACACAGAAAACCTTATGTAGTGTTTATTACTGCACCCAGTCGTTAGTGTGTTAGTAGCCAGACAGGTGCTGTATCTTGTCACCTTTATAGTGTAATACTTTAGCCTGTTTCCATAGTGTGAAATTGCTGATTATGTAGAGCAATAATATAACTCCTCACGAAGTAGTTGGTCATTTGATAATAATATAGAGTATTATCTAGTGTGAACCAAGGTCAATGAAAACATATAAAAATATCTTGTGTTTGTATGTCCTTTATAAATGTATCTTAAGTAGTACACAGTTCCCAATGTACACTCGCAACAAAAAGTATCGGTGCATACTGTAGTGTGAACAATTTGAGACAGTGACGATCGGTATTGGGAAAGGCGAGTTGTTCCAGCCGTATGTTGGCAGCCCTGTAATCTTGCTGAGCAGCTACTATGGCCTGGTCAAGTGAAACAAACTGTTATAAATAAGGTCGGGAAGTGATAAATAGACAGTATGAAATATGAGGAGCTCCCTGTTAACAAAATTATTTGTGATACTTGTGAATATTGCCACAATAATTTATGCTACCAAATAAACCACTCGACCTGGTCGTCCTGAGGGGTGGTGCAGCGTGGACGGCCGCTCTGAGACCTGTCGTCTGTAGCGCCAGTCGAGGTATCGCCGAATCCATCTTGCAGCGGTGCTCCTGTGGACACCAACCCGCCGGCTAATATCTGTGACGCCGAACCCTTCGTTATGAAGGGCAATAATAGCTCCTCGTGTTACCTCTGAGGTTTCCATGTCGTCTGGCATGTGTAGATCTCTACTGCTTCATATTGCCTCCGTTTTATACCCACGTTCACCGAGACCGAACCCTCGCGCTTCATTCAGTCGACAAAGCAACAATCCGAAAAGAGGAAACAAACGCACTGAATGTCAGCCATATGGCAACACCTAGTGGGGGGAGGGGGGAGGGGTTTTGAGGATACACTTACTAACCTTCCCGACATATCACTGTATACGCATCGTTTCGGAAGTTGTCGATCACACCCTGCACCCTGGTGCGAGTGTACGTGTACTGTCGCGGACAAAACTTATCTCCCCGTGATGACACCGAGTCAGGGGAATGAGTCTCCGAACTTACTTACCCTGGCTTCGGTTGTGCTGGTTCATCTCATTTGGGGTCGACACTACTTCATTTTGGAAGGGAGTGAACTTTTGACCCCGACTGTACCTAGACAACGCAGGTATACAACAATAGTAAACAGGAAGGTAATATGATCGAGGACTGTCGACAAAGATATGTTTATTTCCAGATGGTCGAAGGATACGTAGTTTGTATTTCAAGTTCTCAAACACACTGGTCTCTAAATGCAAGCTGCATATTTGAGCATTTTGAGCATTTATACTTTATAGTCTTTCCTCTTGCACAAGTGAATCGGTTTTCATCTCGGTTCTTTATCCTTCAGAAAGCGGTGGAAGTTATATCATCCCTGTTTTTAATTTGTGGTTAGCACACAAAAACTAAGCAAGCGTGTTATTATTGTTGACTTGTGATGCCACGAGTTCCGAGAGGTTCTGTTTTCTTTGATGCATGAAAGAACAGACGTTACTTTTATACTCTTTGCCACTGATTGGCTCGTTAGCCGCTTGAGCGGTAGGGCACGTCTCTGCTACTCCCTGTTGGCATGTATTGGATCCTGAATGTATCTTTACCTGCCCTAGTGTTGTCAAGTCTGGCCTTGAAAGAGCTCACACTCGGTTCCGTCACAACACTTGACAGATTGTTCCAGGAGTTTACAACTCCGTCCGCCAGCTTCAGGTATGGAAACTCGACTGAGTAGTGACCTCTGAGATGTTTATAAACTTCAATTAGGTCACTCCTTGTCCGTCTGTAGTATAAGCTAGGCAGTTGCAGGGGTTCTAATCTCTCTTCTAACCTCACTTGCACTAAACGCAATCGCCTTTGGCTACAATGATTTGTGGTTATTTGCGCATTTTTTCACCCTATTTTTGGGTTGTATTAGCTCTTGCTTCTATATAGTCTCACTTGTAACTCTATGTATCAGTTTATACTTTCAATATACTGTATTTTTAATAGTTGTAATAACGCTAAGGAGGACAGGGCTTCAAAGCTTTGTGCGACCATACGCCATCAATTATGGCCGTGCCAATGGGCCAATTTTATTTTGAGTATTGAGTCACAACGAAAAAAGACGTCGTAGCTCAAGTTATGAGCAACTCTAGGAGAAGGGACTTTTTAAATATTTTTGAGTGTCCAGTAACTGGTATCATTGTGCGAAACAAACCATAAAGTATCAGATAATAATAACTTGAGAAATGTCTGCTAAAATCTACAGTACATAGTCACCTTAATATTATAAGGGTAAAAAAAAAATAATCGACCATGGAATTCAAATAAAAATGTGTCAAACAGCAAGTGTGTCTGTAAACTGTGTGGGCGTGTTTAGGGATAATTTACCACGAGCTTATTCTTTTTCTTGTTACATTAGGAGAAGCAGCGTTCACCTTTCATAAACCAGTCACGGTCAGACCGGTATATACAACCCGCCACAAAATTAGACTAGATGTTGCCAGTTGTCGAGATAATTGTTAATACTGAAAGCAAAAGCCATTATTGTCTCGCTCCTCGAATACATAATAAACAGATCCAGCTTTGATTTACAGATACTCTATAGAGTCTACAGTATACTATAGAGTATTGGACGACTATAGAGTCTACAGTCGTCCAATCATCCAATATTGTATTGTGTGTAAGTATAACTGTGTGTGTGTTGTATGTGTGTTCTTATGCATGCGTGTGTGTTTTTATATAATGTATGTAGATGTTCATTTGTTTGTTGTGTTCTCTGGTGGGCAAAAATTCACTGATATTCACATGCCTAGAATAAGTCCGGGAGCCTTGAGGTGACCGTCTGCTTCTTGAAGGGCAGATGGAGGTGAAACGAACCGTCCCGCCATCATCATTATCTGACAACCACCACCACCTGACAACAACCACTGCCACCACCATCTGACAACAACCAAGGCCAACACCACCATCGGATAACCACTGCCACCACCACCACTTGACAACCACACTATCAACATCCACCACCACCACCTGACAACAACCACTGCCACCACCATCTGACAACAACCAAGGCCAACACCACCATCGGATAACCACTGCCACCACCACCACTTGACAACCACACTATCAACATCCACCACCACCACCTGACAACAACCACTGCCACCACCATCTGACAACAACCAAGGCCAACACCACCATCGGATAACCACTGCCACCACCACCACTTGACAACCACACTATCAACGTCCACCACCACCCCACCCTTCACCACCTCCTACATTCAGCCTTGGATCAATTATGACTCATTATCATATTAACTTCTCAATGCGGCAGATGTGATGAGCAGACGGGAAGGTGGAAATTACAGTCCAGCATCTATGCGTTCGTGTTTTTGTCCTCGTCCATGTACGTGTATGTGTGTGTGTGTGTGTGTGTCTTTGTCCGTGCGTCCTGTCCGTGGCATCTCATGTGATAGAACGAATAGAAATGAATCTTGGTGAATTTTGGGAAGTGGGAGTCATTCAGGAAGACTTCGAATTGTTAGATAATATGGTTTTTTTTTGTCTTCCTGTAAATTCTGGGGGAGTTCTCTATTTTTCTTCTTTTCGGGTACAGTGGATCATACTGGGTAGTTGGGATGAGTAAGATTCGTCTGCCAAAAAAAAAAAAAAAATGATATTCTCAATATAACATTGTCATGTCTTTAATGACAGAAAATACTTTTAACTTTTTTCTAACGACCTTCACCGTTGGAGTCTTCTCTTCTACTTGTATTTATAATGAAATTGAATTATAGAAACCCACGAGTTAGAGATTTAACTGTGGTTAGGTTAGGTTACAGTTAACAAAAAGTTAGGATAGGTTAGCGTTAGCGAAGGTTAACTGTGGTTACGTGTAATTGTTCCCAAATTTCATAATTGTAACTTGAGTGGACGGAGAGCAATAATTGTCACTAAAGCGTATTCTAAGCGGGTGTGGCCGAGAAGGTTTTGCAGTGAGTAGGGACTTTAACAGTGAGAAGTCCTTGTGCAATTTTTCCGTCCATGAGGCTCTCTTGTTTATGTCGCAGTTTCAGGGGAAGTATTAAGTACTGATAATTCGAACCCTAATATACAAGTTGACCCTAAAAACCTCCCCTTAACAAAGGGATTATGCGAGTCAGCCAGATATCTGAACTCTAGGAAAACTTGTCATTGACGTCACAGGTGAAATAAAATCGAGGAACTGGTTTAAAAACTGGTTGTTTAAAGGTCATATTTAGTTTGAGAATAAATCGTGGCTATTTTCTTAAGTAATATAATGTAAAGGAGTTACTGTAATAAGGGAATTTAATAACAGCGTGAAATGGACGGTTAACAGAGGCGTGTGCTTGAGCCGTGTTAGAGAAACGAACAAGACCAGCGAACAGCGAACAAACAGAGCTAACAAAGGTATCAGACAGAGCTGGCAAAGGTAACAGACTTGGCAAAACTGGTTATATATAGTAAAAAAAAAAGGTTCTCTGGTCATAATGGAAAGTGATGTTGGCAGAAATATCGCTTGGAAAAAAAATAAAATTAAGTACGACAAAAGTTAGAAACAGGAATTACTGTAACCCGTTTTAGCACAAGCTCGGAGGGAGAGAGAGAGAGAGAGAGAGAGAGGCAGGCAGCATGAGATGATATAGGTAAGGACGTTTTGTAGAATCTCTCAATTGTATATCTTATATCTGCAACATATTTTCCATTAGTTAAGTGATGGTATGCTTTGACGGGTGACCTTGAAACCACGAGAACCACTGCCTCAAGCTACCTTGCCCATAATGATGCGTTTCCTGAGTTCACAATGTACTGCACACCTGCACCAGCGCTGACGGAGCACAATAGAGATATTGTATTTCTTTCTCTCCGCCGTGAGAGAGTAAATTATACAGTGAGGAGTATCAGATCAGAGGTCAAACATCTTATTCGTGGTAGTTATTGGTGTTTTAATGTATTACTGGGCTTTAGTACTACCGCCTGGGAAGATATTGGAAGCATTATGTATTGTCTGATGGTAGACCCTGCTGCCATATGGCACCACAAAAATTGTGACCAAGTCCCAGGTTACTGATCTGACTTTCTGCCTCATTTACACAATTGCAGGTTTCAATTGTTTCTCTTACTTTGGCAACACAACGTACTCTATATA